ATATATATATATATATATATATATATATATTCACGCATGTCTATACCCATGTATATGCATGTACTTATTTGTATAGACAGTCCCAATACATTTGAAAAAAATGAATTTAGAAAGCCATAATATTGAAAATCATATACATCCCCAGCTTTGAAAAGTTCTAGAGCAAGAACCGCTGAGATAAGTTAGTCGCTTCGTGCTTCGCCGAAGTAGACTAACGCACTGCGGTGCACATGCACCCAGAGACACTGAGCGGCAGGTTGTGCGTTTTCACGAATTGAATGGCAGCCAAAATGCCAATAAATCGGAGGAAAAGGAGGCAACTGAGCTGAAGAGCCTCATGAAAGACACCTCAGTAGTACCAAACAGGAGCCGCTTCATATGGAATACCTCTTCAACTGTCGTCTCGTGCGGCTAACCAACAAATGACTCGGACGAAAAGGCGAGCGACACTCGATGCCACTCCTGTGGCAAAACGGTCAGCTCAAGATGTACGTGAACACCAGAACGGTCCGCGTAAATAAGAAAGTAGCCCTTGCACAAACACGAACAGAAGGAGAGACCAATAAAGACCGCGTAGTCTAATACCTCCATCAGCGACAAAACCCAATGCAGTTCACGGCCAGACTGATCTTCAACAGTGTCCGTTGCAAGGCGAAATTAACAACTTTTGGCTGTATCGCGCTGCTGTTTGACAGTACTGAGGCCAGAATTTAGATATGGAAGCAGTCAAGGGGAAGAGCACTTCTCACACATCGGCAGCACCCAGATGGTGCGTTCATGCTGCTGGCGCTCCTCCCACTCCTGCTACGGCTGTGGATGCAACAGAAGTGCATCATCACTTGTTTTTCCTCGTTGCGGAAGCGCTGGGAAAGAGATGCTCCAGTTTGCGGTGGGAAGCGGATGTGTGCGTGCAGCTACAGGGTCTCACGCACTAATGAATCTTGATCCCTATTCCCGTCCCGACACTTTTCCTCCTAACCAGTGTCGCAATCGCGAAGCAACCCCTGAAGTCCTTGTACCCTCTTGCTGCTCCTGATCCGACTTTTGCTGTTGTGGCTGCTGTTGTTTGAATTTCTCAACTAGTTGCCTGGCTCTCTCGATTGAACTTTCAAGCCCTTCAAACTGAGGCGAAGGGTCTGCAAGTCGATAAATGCGGGCCAAGGCATCACTGCCCTCCTCTGCTCGCGAACTGACTTCTCGTGCATTATCAAGAGATGCATGAGATTTGAAGGCTTCCACCGCTTCACTCAAATCCGTCTCCCACGCCGAAGCCAGCGCGTCTGCTGCCTGCACGAGTTGTGTCTGTGCGCTATCCATGGCGATCCTAAGTCCGATACACCCGTTCGCCAAGAAGGGAAATGCTGACGGAAAGGTGGAGTACGACATCATTCTTTTGTAACATGTCGTTGCTTGGCTCAATGCAACTCGACAGTTTCGCATATCACTCTCCAGGAGTTGAGAGATCCCAGCATTGCCATTGGCTGTGGCCTGCATCCGCGTCGCACGCAGGGCATCCGTTGCACGCACCAGCAACCCTCTGTGCTTCTCTATTGTCGCATGCCAGTAACGCTTCAGAGAATGGGTCGCATCCCCGAGAATATTCCCACACATTTTCACTGCCAGCACAAAGGGCTGATAGATTTCGTGAGGCACCTCCCGTGGAACTTCAGTGTGCAGCGCAACTGTATATATCGTAACACCATCTCCAAACAGCGTTTCCATCTTCCGGTATTGTCCTTCTGTCCCGTCCATGTTTCTCAACATCTTGCCCAGGTCTCGACTTATCCGTAGAGCGTCCATCGTCTGCCTCTGAACCTGAGCCGCAGCCCGAGCTGTTGCCGCTGCTTTCTCTGCGTCTGATAATATCATGCTGCCCATGGACCAACTGTTTGCCGTGCTCCTTGTGGCCGTATTAATAATTGTTTGCAGGCGTTCTACTGCAGTTCTCAGGCCTTTAGATGTTTCACCCCAACTGCCCGCTTCCAGTTGTCCAAGGACTACAATTGCCTCTCTCAAGGCTTCTTGAGCTGCTGCAACCAGCCCACTTCGGTCCTGGTTCCATCGCTGCATGGCCTGTATCAGCGCTCTCGTGTGGGCTTTGACCGCCTCCTCTGCCCTTGCTGCTCGCTCAGCAGAAAAAGAAGGACGAGCAGTTACACGCAAAGGCGAATGACGGTGCACGGCCTGCAACACCCTCTCTGCTGCAGCGACAGCTGCAGCTGCTTTAGGGGTGAGTGGAGGTGTACCATCGTTGCTGTGTCTTGCTGCACTGTCCGACAGCAGGCGCGCAGATCGCTGCTCTTGAGCTGCTGTGTACCCCATTTGGTCTCTCTGTTGGTCTTTTGCTGCATACGCCTCCCAAGCAGTATCGGCCTGGTCGTCCAGTTTTTCAGCCGCCGCCTGCAGAGTTTCAAGGATAGTATCCGAATAATGCTCACCTGCCTTTTGGCGCTCTTTGACCTGCTCAATTCTGTCTTGCATATTCGATCGCTGACGATCCAGTTCCGCTGCTCTTGCATACAGCACCTCCAACTCGTCGCCGACACCCTGGAAAGCCTCCACAGCCAGTGCCACCATTCGCCTTTCTGCCGTAGACAGTGTCGAAGCATCATATGGACTTAGCGTAAGTAAACTGATCTGCAGTTCAACAAGGTCGATTTCGTCTGTTTCCCCTGAAGCGCCACCGTGCTCAACATCTGCAGCGCTAAGGCCATTGGCGGACAGTTCGACAGGCTCGGTGTTGCCTTGGGGTACTGCTGGGCCGCTTGCATGTGTCTGAGATATGGGCTTTTGTTTTCGGATAGAAGACCATCTCAAGACGAGAAAAACTGCTGCGGCTGCAACAACCAACGTACCAAATGCCTGTACGGCACCCAATGACGGCAGGCGGCCCACTGTATGCGGAGCAGCAGAAACCCCGGAGAGCCTACCACGTGTACTCGCTTCAATTTGTAATTGATCACCATGGCTTGTCCATTGTGATGTATCTTCTGCGCCTTCCTGGGCGACAGCATTGTCCCAGAAAGTTGTTGGTAAAAAAAAAACGGACGCCGCCACGGCCAATTTGAAGGATCTTGTAGCCATAGCGGCGGTTGCTCGTAGCCTGCATTCAAGGAGATAATCAACTGTGGCGGAAGAAAGGATGGTTTTGCTGGGCCGTAAAACGCAGCCACTCCGGGTGGGCAACTGTAACCCCCTAAACAGGCCGCTTTAGGAGGCGTGCGTTAACGTGTACCACGCAAAAAGCCACAAATCGCAGCTAAAATCCATTAAAAACCTGCTCCGAAGTAAATCATTTAGCAAACAAGAGAAAAATGACTACCACTCACAGCGGCCCCAACTTCCGTGCTGCTCTCCAGATGCTGGACTGTAGCATGACTGTTGAGTTGTGTGCCATGTCTGCATGCTTTTGGAGGAATAACTAATGAATTTGGAGTTTTCTGCACGTAAAAGTACTGAAAAAAGTGCCACGTTCTTGGGAGGCCTACTCTGGTGCAGTACATGAACTTTCCCCCATCGCCTCCCTGAGCCGACTCCAGGAATCCAACCAGTGAGCGCTCACCCTCGCTGGACCACCTCGATTCTCTGCTGGCCAAAGCGCCGTATAGGCATTTGAAAGGATGTAAAAGCAGGTCTTATGCAGGAAACAGTGGCACAAATGGAAGCCCAGGCATCTGAATATTTGCGAAGTGGTCCCCGGCCTGGTATAGACCGTCAAGAGGTGCCATTCTTAGTTTCTCCCTCGTTTTAAGCTAGTCCCTACGGAAATTAGGTTAATTTTAAAAGGGATGAATGCATAAGTTCTACCTAAAGGGGGCGAAGCATAGATATGTTTGTGGACTCCTCCACTTGGTTCGAGGGAAAGCTAAAGTTTAGGTGGATGGCTTTATTTTTGCAGTGCGAATCCTACAAAAAAGTGTGGTTGGGGCGTCCAACTCCCTGCCACTAGAACAGAGCTAAACGCCCCATCAGTTTCACAGCTTGGTACCCTTCCCGAAGCCTGAACATTCGGCAGGCAAAGAAGCACTTAAGGGGGAGCGAAGAAGGCTCATGCACGGCAGGATCCAGCAGAAGCATGTAGCCCCATGACATTCGAGGGCCATGAATACTCAATGGCAGCCCCCGGCTCCGTATTCGATAGCTTCACGGGCATGGCTGACGAACTTAGCTAGTCGTACGAACACAGACAAACTGTTCGCGAAGCTACTACAGGAATCTGCGCCCTGCTCTGGAACTCCGGGAGGGCAGTGCGTGCCTGCGTGGTGTTTCAGCAGCTGGCCCTCTCGGAGAGTACAAGGAAATAACATTACAACGAAATGCCTCAATCGGATTGCGCCAGCATCGTCGGCTTGTAGCGCAACTGCAGCCCAACCCATTTGCATGCGGATTGCATATGCTCAAACTCAAGCAATATCTAAAACAATTCACTTCCTCTCCCGGCATCACCAGGAACGCCTACTGTCACTTCACACTCAAGAAAATCATCATTCAAAGGCATTGTACCCATGAAAATCAAAAAGGACTACGTCCCCTCCTCCAGTTTCTTCCTATCATATCCGCCCGCTGCCCTGCAGTTCCCTGCATAAACCACAGCTGCTCGCCCACTCTCCTACCTCCCCGAGAGTGCCTAACGCGTTGGTACCCAATCACTCGGATTGTCGAAAGGATCGCTCCCGTCCCTGCACACCCATACAAGTCCAACGCAACAGGATGGAACACCACACCGTTGGCTGGTCAGATTCACGTGACCCTACACTTTCCTCAACATGCTTAGTGCAAACATGCTTCAGTGTGCTAGCGGATATCCAGTGTCAATCGTACTACGTCGAATGCATCTACGTATCCACTTCATAGCACAGGATTTCTGCAAGTGTAAGCCCACCTTCTAACACTATAGTGGAAGTCGAGAAGCTTTTCCATATAATCAACAAGGTCTTTGAACCACTTAGCCAGTTCTTCAGGGACATCCGGTCCAAAATCCGCATTTAGGTTCTTCTGTGCAGCAGAGAATGCCTCACGCAAAAGCCAGGGAAGGGAATGACCCTCAGCGCCCTTAGAACTTTTTGCCTCCATACCCCCTTTAATCCAATCTTTGATCTTCTGCATCCAGGCGGCTCTCTCTTCAGCTTCCTCTCTCCCCAGAGTAACAGGGGGGTCTGCTGGTGGCCATGGTTCGCCTATGCTTGGGATAGGCCAGGGACCGGTCACATCCTCCGCGCTGTCTCTTCGGGGTTTATGAAAGAAATCCTCAAAGCCGCCCTCCTCAAATTCACTAGAAGGGGCCTCTTCGCCCTCTTCGGAAGCGCCTTCTTCATCAGGACCAGCAGGCTTTTCCTCTCCCGAACCTTCCCCACCACCAGAAGCCCCTTCCCCACCACCACCAGTTAGTGCCTCCTCAAGCTGTTTGCATTCATCTTTTTCCCCGTCTTTACCTCCAAGAGTGCTTGCACCGCTAGGGTCCTTCTGGGAGGACATGACTCGCTGAATGCAGCCCAAGAGCAGAATCAGCACAGTGGAGAACACTAGGAGAAGCGCAACACCCAATGCGGGGCGGCTTGAAGGGGATGTTGCTTCATGCAGTATCGGTACGGGCTGTTCTGTTGTCTGTTCTTTAGGCGGGTCACCAACACTGGGTAGCGAAGGAACTTCGTCTCCCTGTGGATCGGCAGCACTGCTCCCCGCTGGCAGCACCACGCTCAGAAATGCTACTGCTGCAGCCAAACCCAGAGCAGAAGGCATCTTAAGACCGTCCTAAATGACCCCCAAGCAAGTCTGTGGAAAAAATAAAGCTAAATAAGGGATGAATGGTCGGTGCGAACAAATTTCGAGAAGTGACCCTAACGCACGAAGCATGGACATTGAGTGCACGGACCGAACGGAAGCGATGGATGCGGGGTGCAACTGTTTAGAGGGGACACCAGCACAGCAGCGCTCGCAGTTGGGAACAACACACCTATAAAACTTGGCGTAAGCTAATGATATATCGTAAATATCAGTGCATACAATGATTTTAATACGCAACTTTAGTGTAGACTTATCTTTCCAATGATATACTTCTAACTCTTACACACTCGTTATCGAATTCTACTATCTCCCCGCAGCGAGCCCACAATTTTCGTCTCCCTTGGCTCCCTGTGAAATGGCTATCCTGCCCTTTTAATTATCCTTTCCAGAGAAGTAGCAATATTTGGGTTTTCAATGGCCTCTTGTCTATGGGTCTTTGGCCCGCCAGCAGGGGGGTAAGTGCTACGATACCACCTTCGAACGGCGCAGGTCGATAATGCTTCTAATCTGCCTGTGCATATTTATACGCATTGATATTGGTCCCAGCAAAAATGTATTTTATTGCTTTTGTTTGAGGGAGATTTGCGGTTGGCACTGGCCTTTTTCCCTCCCTAAATGAAGGGTTATGCCACCCGAACGAAGACCTGTCGTGAGCCGCAATAGAGTAAGGAAATAAGGAAAAAAAGCCCACCAAAACATATGGCCTCCCACGCAGTCTCCAGGCGTCATAGGTGTATGCTTCAAAAAGCCTGGGGTTGGCGTGGTAAGGAGGTTTGTGGGGTGCAGCACTCGGTACTCCCAACTCCTGCTCCAGGGCGACCCAGCTTGTGTATCCAGGCCCCCATTGCTGCATTTACCGATACTTTACACTATTTTCGACACATGCGCCTACTTGTCCCTCAGGAGTTAGTAAGCGCTTAAATACAAATACGCGTGCCAACTTCAGTCAGGCCATTCTACACTCGAAGTTGCATCCTGGGCTCGTACTCCTACTTGCTCTCAGGCTTCCTACTGATGACCAGAAAAATTGTTGAATATTTGCTAGTGTAATAGCGAATGCAGAAAGGTGTGGACCTGGCTATGCTTGCGCGTGGGGTGTCACTAGGAGCCGTAGCAAGGTGTGTTGAACCTCATGCCCCATCTTCACAGCAGCCCCATGCCTGCGCACCGCTGTGGCCAAGATGCTTGGCGAGTGCAGATGTCAGCTGCACCTTGGCAGCCCTTATCTCGAATATTTTGACTCCGTTGAATGCTGGGGGCTCTATTGCAAGTCATAATGCGCAGCGGACATACAGTGAGGAAATACTTTAGAACGTAAAAAAAATTGATCCTGACCTGGAAGCCCGTAAATGCCGGGACAGCCCAGCACAGCAGTTCATTCGAAGTTGTTTGCTCGATGCACTTGATGTGGGGGCGAGGCGCGAAAGGTTCCAGCCTGCCTCTGTTACGGTCTCAGTCCTACTCACTGAAACGGAAAATTTACTTTATATCATGTTGGCTCTTGGCATCGTTGGAAACGGAAATTTCCACAGACTCTCCGCTATTCCGAGCGCACCCCGTACCAGAACAAGCCTTAGTATAAGGCGTAGCTTCGGATCGCCTTCGTCTTCGGTGTACACGTGCAATCCACCTTCAACCATTTTGTCCCAGTGCGGGCGGCAGTGCCCTCCCAGTACCATGCATGCCTCCCGGGTGTTTCTTGATGACATGATAGACGCCTAATGAAGGAAATGCAAGCTTTAAGCCAAAGCTTCCCTCTCGCCTAAGGTCCCCCCACACTTTAGCTTGCGAGTCTCCCACGCCATTATTTTATTTTCGTACTCTCTTGATTTGCGTTTTCCTTCGCAGCCTGGAGACGCTTCTCCCACGTCTTGCCGCTCTCTCATTATGCTTTCTCGAAGATATTTCCCCCGTGAATGGCGCCTATCACGTGCTCCCTAACGAAGTGTGTACATAATCGTGCATGCAACTAGACGAAAAAAATACTGCAGCAAACCTGTCGTCAGCAGGGCCATGGGTTTCTAAGAACGGCATAGCGTTATTCATGTGTCTTCTGCTCTAACTTCTAGTATGTCGTGACCTGTTCGTGCTGTGCAGGAGAAACCTATATCAAACTAAGCTTTTCTGTTGTCTCTTTTGCGTATATGCACGTAACAGAGAAGAATCTTAAGGATCTTATCTCCACTATCTCCAAGCATTTTGGATGCTTCAACCTCTGCAACCGTCAGAAACAAATTATCGCTGCTGTTCTAGGTCAGACTGATTCAAATCCCAAAGCAGCAGGCGGATCTGAGAACCCGGTCCTCGCACCAGATCCTCCGCTGCGTTAAACGCGTGCCTCCGGTGGTAGGAGCATGCCTACAGTGGAAGAGTTGTCTTCACCCACTGCGCCCCATTCAATGCTGCGTTCGACGGCATGAGGAAGTTGGTCAGGCTCATCCTGCCAGCTACAACCACTTTTTGGTTTGCTTTAGAGATAGAGAGAGGGAACAATAGGCGCACTTTAGCAGCAGAAAAAAAGGCAGTGGAGAGCATCCTACCATCCGCCCCGCACTGGGCTGTATGCTGTATGTACAACATACAGTCCAGTGCGGGGCGGCTGGCAGAAGGGGTAGATAATAGATGCGTTGTTGAGACATTCTTCAGCTTCAGTATAAAGCTTTTGGTACTCTTACGGATAAATGACGAAAACGAGACATCAGACAGTAACGCTTGCCTGCCTGGGAGTTCCTATGAACCGGAGCAGCCGGGCAGTTCTGTAGTGCTTGCGGTGCACTGGCACTACCATGGGCTCTCCGTTGAGCCTCTGGCGATCTAATTCGCGATAAAGCGCAATAAAAAATGTTTATTATTTAATAAAGATATTTTAGAGCAAAATTGTGGCTAATTAGGCTACGAGTGCCTATAGCCCTTGGGGTATAGGGGCTGGCTGGCTTGCGATGGCTCGACCCTTGGGAGACAGGGGAGCGGCAGAACCGCTCATTGGAAAAAAGAACATACTTAAGAACTAGAACGGGATTTTGGTTATAAAATCCATAGTTGGGTGTTTTAGGGCCCTTTAAGGAGTATTTGCCGTGTTTGACCCCAGATATTTAGTATACACCTATCCTATGTGGTGCAGTTTAGAGTACACACAGTAACAGCCGCGTGTGAGAGCACTACAGTGCTGGTGCAAAAGCTCATCCTTCTGTCCTCCACTGTAGCAGATAATACTTATGAATTGAGTTCGTTGCAGCAGGCAATGTCATTTTTTGAACTTCTGGGAGGAGTAGGTGCGGCTGTGAATGCATCGATTGGTGCTAGACGAGCTGGGCCCGCGGAAAGAGGTTGGGGCCTGTAGATCTATTTTGGAGACTCTACCATTAAGCTAACAATCCTCTAGTAATATATTATTATGCCCTTGTCCTTTAGTATTGTACCTGTTCTATGTTTTTCATCGACTTCTTCCCATATTTAAAGTCCCGCTAGTGTGTGTGTTCATCCCCCCATTCGCTTTTTCATGTTTACCCTAAACCTCTTTTCATTAGTTCCCTCCTCAATCGCCTACTAATTCTGCTAATCTAGAGTTCTTGGCGCCTTAATTCTCTGCCTACTCTATCCAAACACGAAAAAGTTACTCTATTGCTGCCCCCCACAGGTCCCCCCATCAGATGCAGTTGGCTGTCGGTGTCGTTCAAGCTCGTTTTCTCCGTATTTCCCCTTTACTACTACCATGCCGAACAGAATATCCCTACCATTTCAGGGAGTTCACTACATCGTTGCGGTTATGAGCGGCTCTTTCTAACGTGCGCTGAGGGACTAGGACAGGGCGAATGCGTTGTCTTCATTTGTGCCTTCAAGCAGTAGATGCAACTGCGTTTTTCTGCTGCGTCTGCGGGTCTGCCCTCTGCCTACTGAGTAGTTTGAATGGCCAATCCTGTCAGCTGCGGTGCCGTGTGCAAGAGTAATTGAGGAAGCCGAATGTTTGGGCTCTAGACGTCTTATTCCCCGACGACAAATTTAGCTATATTGACGGCGGTAAGTGTAAAAAGAATGCCGGTATGCATGCAATGGCACAACACCTGGTAAATATATAAGCAAGCCGTGCGAACAGCTGTCCATATACAAATATACAATAAATGGCGGAAATTGTATTGAACGAGCACCAGAAGAAACAGATAAATAATTGAGTTGGGAAAAAGGGTACCCAATTCATATCTCCAGCTCAACATAAAAGGAAGTACAAGGCTTTGCTGCGCGTACAGTCGAAGACAAACAGCCACAACGATTCAGGCGAGGAGATGGATTTTCATCTATTGCACATACGCATGCGGCCAAAATATAAAAACGTCCCACGTGCACTACAAAAAGCGCAAAAAATTGGAAAAGCATATGCGTGGAGCGCATGTACTTCCATACAGGACTTACAGAACTCAAAAACCTCACGCATCTACTGCCGCAGCATTGACATTTAACAGGACCCTTGCAAAACGAGGGGCCTTCATGCGGGATTCCAATGAGGAATACACGATGCGTAGGGGTATCTTGGGGTCCCTTTGGTGTTTTCACTTTGGAGTAGTCCCCGAAATAGATCGCAGTAGTCGCAAGGTTTCCTTCGCAGTCTGAATTCCATCCGACAATCTTTGCCTGGGCTCATCTCCCTCTCCTTGCAACATTTGGCGTAGGAGAGTGAGTTGTTCCGTCCAGGCCTTTGCGCAGGCATCAGCCGCCCCCATCAGGAGACTTTCTGCTTCATGTATGCCTGAGGATAGACTGCTCAGGGCGCTCCCAAGATTAGAGACTTCAGGAAAAGCAGTGAAAATGACCTCTGCGTCTTCGCATACTTTCGTTGCACTATTTATTGTTTTTCTCAAATCCATCATCGCCCCAACTGCAGGGTCTTCTGGGCTAACGGGATGTGGACCGTGCACCTTTTGCAGGTAGACCGAGACTCTGTCAGCATTAGACTTGAGGAGGCTTGCTTGCGCATTGCAAAGATCAATCCAATGGCATTTTGATTGTCCAACAAGACGTTCCACACGGTCTTTACACTGACCTAGGGTAACCATGAATTGCCGCCGCTCGCCTTCGTTAACCTCTTCTGAGAAATCCACTACTTGAAGGCCACCTACGAGCTTAACACCTTCAAGCAGCAAATCAGGAGTTTTGGCGTCAAAAAATTTGCATCCCTTACCAACTCCAGCTTCTGTAGCTTCTACTTGAAGCATCCACACCTCCATCGAAGTGGACTTGTCGTGAACGTCGATCAGATCTAAATGAGTGGCGAGAGGATAATCTTGAACAGGGGGCGGTGTTGGCGCTAATCCTGCAGCACCTTCTACAGAATGCGGGCCTACGCTTGCCTCTGGAATAGCAACGGCTGCGCCAGCAACTTCTTGCTGCGGATCCTGTCGGCGTTGCTGGTCTTGTTGCGGCAGTTCGCAGGGGTTGTTAGGTAATCCATGATCTGAAATACGGCGTCCTTTTGTTCCTTTAAATGCATTTGATACTGTTGAAAGGTGGTAGACGCATCTTAAGACCAAGAAGATAGTAACGAGTAGCGCCACCATCAGCGCAACTCCCATAACAGGACGTGCGGGGGTGGCGGTTTTCAATGGGGATTGTGATGGTGACGCGGCAGGGTCCATATCACTCAGTGGGAAAGGCGTATCACTGAAAATTGCCGCATTTACAGCAGATGCTGCAATCGCACCTGAAGCGGCTCGCGGCTGCACGTGCTCGCTCTGACGGGCATCGCCAGGGGAAAGCTCTACTGATGCCAGCATTCTTGTCCTTCTGTGCAGAATAATTTTCCACAGGAGGGTCCAGAAACTGAAGAAACGGGCGTGGCCAGCAATTTGAAACTAGTGCGCTCTGCTAGACGCCACCGTGCACAACTCCTTTATCCCTCTACCTGTATCGAAGTCCCCGTTGGGTCTGGGGTAGGCCTGGAGAGTATTGGAGAGCACGACTGAGGAAAGGGGAACATGTAGACTTGTTTTGAGAAAATGCCCTCCCCCACAAGTTAATAATAGCTTTAATTACATCGTTTACGCATTTATACTTCCGTTTCAGCTCCCTACCCGCACGTGCCCATCTCGAGCTGGACGGAGAGAACATCTCTCTGCTCGGTTGTGCTGCGGCAGGGTGTCTCTCGCGATGAGTTTGAAGTCAATGACCAGAACAAAAAGTGTACATATCTAAACCATAACTTTCACTTGATTTACTTGTCTCAGTCCAATCCACCCCCACTTACCCTCCCACTAAACTGTTTCTGGCGGCTTTAGAAAAATGTTGGCTAAAGAAGGGAACGACAAGCCTAGAGTCCATGTCGGCATTTGTAACTTAGCGAATTCATCTCTCCACGAGCTTGCATTTCCTCTTCTTATTCTGTGATATTGAGGCAGGAATTACTCGGCTTAATCTTCTCTGTGGTGCCGTCCAGGTGCAGGGTGTGCTAGTTCTAGCGCGCTCCGTCGGAGTCTGGAACGTGCATTTCCACTTGTGTACACGCTGGGCGCCTGGTTCCAAACAAGCATTTGGCGATTGTACACAACAAAAGCGCATTCAGCAATGGGGGCCTGCTTATGATGCTCTATTTCACGAGTCCCTGAGTAGTTCTACGTAGTTGGATTTTCGTATGTGTGCTCTGATTCACTCCCTACGCCACCCAACCATGAGAGAATCACTCTTTCTTGCTGCCTCCACCAGATCCCACCGTCAGCATCAGTTGGCTGCCGGCGTCGTCCAAGCTCAGTTATTTCCGAATTTTCCCCTCCTATTTGCCACGCTGAACAGAAAGCCCAGCTGGCCCTTATTTTTCTGGTAATTCCTTACTTCTTTGCGTTTCTGATCGGCTCCTGCTATCGTGGGCTAAGGCATTAGCACAGCGAGGATGAGTTGTCTTCAAGTGCTCATTCATGCAGGAGTTCTAGGTATAACTGCGTTTTCCCACTGGCTTCGCGGGTCCGCCATTCATCTTCTGTGCAGTCATAAAGGCCAGTCCTGCCAGCTACGATGCGCTGCGCAAGAGTAACTGAGCAAGCCGAATAAATGAGCTCTAGAGTGGTCGCATTCATGGCGGCTAAATTCCTTCATACTGACGCCGGCAGGTGGAAAAAGAATGCCGACATGCACGTGAAGACGAAACATCACGTAAAGATAAATGCAAACAAGCTGAGCTGCTGTCTTCCACGGGATTGATTATATTGATGAAGCAGCAACTGCAACAGAGACATAGGAGGCAAAGGCTCGGGGGTAACAAATTCATATCCCTAGCTAAACAAAAATAGGAGCGCAGGGCTTTGTTGGCCCTTGATACACAGCAGGACAAGCAAACAAGGATTCAAGCGAACGCATGAACCTTGGCCTATTCCGCATACACAAACGCCCACACCAAGCAAAAATGTTCCACCTTCACTCCAAAAGGAGCAACCAAGTCGAGAAGCATATAGGTGGAGAGCACATTCTCAAACAACGGAACTCACAGAACCGCACGCAGCTACAGCGGCGGTCATGGCAATTATAGGGACCCTGAGAAAATGGGAGGGGCCCTGAAGCGGGGTTTCAATGAAGGGCACACGAAGCCAAGGGGTATCTCGGTGGCCCTTCACTGCTTTCATATTGAAAGAGTTTTGCCGGAAATGAATCCGAGGATTCTTTGGACTGTCTTTGCAGCCTGTATGCCATCCAACAGCTTTTGCCTGGCCTCGTTGCCTTCTGGTGCTTCTGCCTGCAACATTCTGCGTAGATCTGTGAGACGTTTTATCCAGGCTTCTGCGCAGGCATTAGCCGCCAGGTCCAGAGACTCTACTGCTGCAGTGATAACTGCGCTCAAGCTTATTAGGGCATCTCCAAGTCCTCCGGCTCCACGGAGGGTAGCACAAATAGTCGCCCCCTCTTCGTATACTTTCATTGCAGTATTTACAGTTTCTCTCAATCCTATCATCGCTCCAACTGTAGGGTCTCCTGGGTCGAGAAGATCTCGACGGAGTGCCCTTCGCAAGTGGCTCCAGGCGCCCTCAACATCAGACCTGACGAGCTTTGTATGCTTTTTGCAAACAGCTGTCCAACGGCATTCCACCTGTTCAGCGAGACGTCCCACAAGCTGACTACACTCTCCTATGGCTTCAAGGAATTCTTGCTGGTCGCCTGGGACTACCTCAGCAGAGAAGGTCACTGCTTCTAGGTGCTTTACCAGTTTCAGACCTTCACAAGCCAAATAGCAAATGTGGGCCTCTTCAGATTTGCCGCCCTCACCAATTCCAGCCTCTGCAGCCTCTACTTGAAGCATCCAAGCCGCCATAGATGCAGAATGGGCGTAAAGGCTGGCTGGGTCCAAATGAGTAACGGCAGAATAACCTTTAGGAAGAGCTGGGGTTGGCCCTGTTGATGCTGTGACACTTTGCCCAGAAGATGCGCCAACAGCAGCCTCGGGAATGGCAGCGGCCGCGCCAGCAACTTCTTGCTCCGGCTCCTGCTGGCGTTGCCGTTGTTGTTGCGGCAGTTCGCAGGGGTTAGGCAATTCATGATCTGAAACACGGCGTCCTTTTGTTTCTTCCGGTGCATTTGCCGTTGTTGAAAGGTGGTAGGCACATCGTAGGAGCAAAAAGGAAGTGACGAGTAACGCCAGCATCGCGGCGGGACCCAGAACAGGTTGGGCGGGGGTGGTGGTATTCAACGAGGGTGGTGATGGTGACAAGACACGCTCCACTTCAGCAGAGCTGAAAGGTACACGACTGGAAATTGCTTCCTTTAGGGAAGATGCTGCGGCGGCAGCAGCAATGCGCTGCAGCTGAACGCTCAGCGAGGCAGCGCCAGCAGTAAATATTATGAAAGGCAACATTTTTTACCTTCCCTGTAGAAGAAACCTCCCCACATGAGTTCGGGATTTTTAAAAAATGGGCGTACTTCTCAGCCTCTAAGTAGCTTGTTCATGTAGATGCCATACTCCGCATAATGCGTCTGCCCTGGAGACGCCTCGGGCTGCGGTGGAGGAACTTTGACGCTGTGCACGTGCATTTAAGCACTTGCACGGGAAAGGAAACAAGCAGATTTAGCTCAAGAAAATGCCCTGCTGCAAATAATTACTTCTGCAATTGTTTTCGTTATGATTTGCACACTCTGTTTCAATTTTGAGGCTGCAGCCTACCCCCCTTTCCGATCCAACGCACTTTTACACCCCCTCAGTTGTTCGGGAGCGGTGTATCTCGACAACGGGTTCGAAAGCACTGAAAACAATCCATACAATTGTACATATACATGTGCATGCTCTAGATCCTATTCATTTGGAGGCATGCCTTTGAACCAGGTCACTTTCTCCCCCCTCTGTCTTTCACCAGCCTTGGATTGGGGAAGGCGCCCGCAGCATGAACAGTCCCATTTTAAAAGTGTTGCTTTTTTCTTTGATTCAAATATGGCCACTTATTGTACTTCTCTTCCCTTTCGATGGTATCTAGACACTGGTAGCTCGGTTTCACTTTTTCTTGTCCCTGCAGCGTGCAGTGCGTATGCTGTATCGGAGATTGGTATGCGTGTTTCTACCCTGCATCCAGTGTAGCTGCCTCGTGGCGCGTAAGAGCTTAACTGTTGCATAGAGTGACAGATCAAGCAGCAGAGGGGGGCGGGTTGAACTCATGAGAAACGGCCTGTTGCAGGCACCAGACACAGGTCTTTGTTCAACTCATGAGGAACAACCTGTTGTAGGCACCAGTCACAGGTCTTTGTTCCGGTGAATTCAAGAAGCCTGGAGACTAGTGGGGAGGTCAGCTGCTTTCTGGAACTCTTGTCGTCACTACTTCGACTCGATTGTTGTAACGAGAGCCCTCGACATTATCCGAGGAAAGTCGTAGGCTGCAAGGCAGGCCTGCATGCAATAACAACGAAGCGCCTTTGCTGCATAGACTAGCAGTGTAGGGAACTGCTGAACACATACTAGGCACTCAACTGCCAAACTGCGCGATAGCAGAATTACCCGGAACGCCGCAAGACAGAACATCCGCCCGCCGCTCTCGCCCAAGCACGACCCGCCATCCTGGGCGTGGTGCCCGCAGATACCAAACAGCAAAGCGGCAGGAGAAAAGTGGGCGAACGACATCCGGAGACGATTCTTCGGTTTGCTGCTGCCACTGCCATCCCGCAGTTCGTTGCGAGGGCCCCGCCTAGTGGCTTTCCCACTGGTCGTTTATGCTGGTGTTCGCCGTCCATTTGCTTTGGGTGCCACTTATTGAAGCGGGAATCCCAATATAGTCAGAAATATGCAGTGAACTACTGGCAGGATATAGCCACCAGCACGCACATGGGCATGGCCCGGACTGCCCCCAGGTGCTAGTTCGAATCGTCGGCTTGCTCAGAAAGCAACAGCCCAACTGCTAGGCCACTAGCATTGGGGGGGGATGGTCGGCGTGTATGCAACAACTACCTCTTTTCCTTCGCCAGCATCTAATCGTATCGAAATGCTCAAGCTAGCACGTGCGGGCACGAACTAAATGCTTGCCACTCTCAAGGTTTCATGCAAAGACAGCAAAAGTCCTGTGTACACGAGAAGGAAGCTCTGTGTGGTGTGTTAGGGAGAAACAAGGTGACGACACTGTTCAGACACTTAACCGTCCAAAGTTACCATCAATTCCTGAGACACATGGCATGCATTTTCAAATATTCAATAATGAGCAACTACTTCGGTGGCTTCGCTGGCTCCCGCAATACCCTTTCGCGGGCGACTATTGCTAGGGTATCAACAAAATGGCCTCAGATTCATTCTACCGGGGCCTTACCATCCAGGCAATGCGTTCTGCCACTGCTCCCCCCTGCGAAGGTTCCTGTGCTCTCACTAAACTGCATTCTACTTTTTCCTGAGGCACCTATGCTGCGGTGGTTCTTGCTAAGCTCACCAAGGGGCGACGGGTGAGGCACTACAGTACAGGCGGCAACCACTTATGGCACCAGGCGAAGCGAAAACCCCACAAATTATGCCTTCCAGCTACGCTTCGCACAGAGGCTTTGCACAAAGTACACAACAAGCTCTACGGGGCACGGTTGGCTGACACAATGATGAAGCTGGTGGGTTGGACATCTTTATGGCTTAGGCTGCGCCCCCTTACTGCATAATATCCCTTCACCTGTCCTGAATACCAGCGGCAATAACAACGTAACGCGTTCAAACCCGGATACCTGCATACTCTTCTGATCACTGGACGGACATATCGATGGATGCCGATCAACCAGAGGCTGCGATAGCATCTATGTCGTTGTGGAAGGACTCAGTAAGTACGCCCATCTTCTTCCTTTTTTGTTCTTCCTTTGAGCAGCGGAAGTGGCAGCAACAGCGGGAGCAGCAGCAGCAGCAGGAGCGAGAGCACATGCGGGCAGCAGTAGCTGTTCTTTTACAGCCTGAATCCAGGCTTGCTGCTGGAGTGTGGCTTCATGCGGCCTATTCTGCAGGGCCAGAACCAGCACCGAGGAGGCGACCGCAGCATCATGGAATCATGGCCTCACCTGGCGCAAGGCCCGGCGCTGCAGGGCCTTCAGAACATGAGCACTTGGACTGAGATATGTGCATATCTGGCAGCCCAATGTGCTTCTGTATGTGTACAGGGGCGAATCTCAGGTAGACGCTAGGACAAACTAGCTTAAAACGTTAGTTTCTGGACAGGAAGACAATACGCGTATTTGCTAACCATGGGGCCTGGGCTACTCGAGCATCCCATACCAGCAGCAGCTAGCGCCGCTTAAGTACTTGGTATAATCATATGGTTAAATTACCTATTTCACGCGCTGTTTAGATTTTTATTTGCACAAGAGTCCTACTGCGGTCCATAAGACTACAGTCTGGGGCCCAGCCAGGCCCTGTGGGGCCCCCAGGTGGCGGCCCATAGGGGCCCCCTGGAGGCCCTCCCTAAGCGCTGTGTTTCTGTCGGTGGTTGTGAGGAGGATATCAGATAATTCATCAGAGTTAAATTAGCTTCTCATGTGTACAAAACCAGATTTCTATAGCGTTTTGCCCTTCGTATTATTCGTTTTTCGTGCGGGTGGCAAAGCAGAGGCGTTCGCTGAGGCTTCTCATAAGCCCAGCAAATCTTCACCTATGTCCTCCTCCTTTCTGGGATCTTTGCACAGTATTTGAATTCTGCATTCATGCGATCGTGCTGTTATAGGCTCAACTTCTCTGCTCCTTCCTTGGTTCTGCTGTCAGCCTTCTTTCACCATTCGGCTCAAACGATGCGCTGCACACAATGGCGAAGAAATGCACCAATAAATTAATCGTAAGATTCCATTTACTTCCTCAGCTTAGCGCTGTGGATCTCTGCACTGGGGGCTCCTCTGGCGCCTGTTCCGCTTCCCGGTCTTCGTATTCCTAGAGTTAACCCTCGAGGCTAGGTGGCCCCATGGAGATATACACATGAACATACGTATATGCATGCATACGCACCTCTTCCTGTATATATACATATATATATCTGATACAAATGAATCCATCTGTATACGCATGCAGCGACAGTTTACATGCGCAGATTAACGTATATGGCTAACATTCCCGTATGCGCGAGTGGACATACTATGCATACATAATTACCCATCTATAGATATGCACCTATACTAAGAAGCCGTAATACGCATGCATAATTACCGACATGCATCTATGCTGACCTATGCATATATACATGCGCACACGCGTACAGTGTGCGTGCCCACCTGCATGCACCCACTATGTACAAAGTGACCTCCTCAACGCCGTCCGGCGGGCCCGTGAGCAGTATTTGTGGGGCTATGCTGCGAGCAAGGGGTTATTCGAACAGACTGCTCTCCCTTTCAGTAGCAGCAGCAGCTGCTGACTTGCCTTTGGCATCTTCATGGGGGGCCCTGCTATCTTGCTCCGCGGTGTCTGTACACCTGCGGCCCAGAAACGCTGCGGCGATACATTGCACTTGCCTATGCAGCGCAACAAATATTGTTATTTTAGGGTCATCTGCGGTACAACAGCAACGAAGAGGGAGCTTTCCACAATCAACGGCTGTAAGACACTTCTGGCAGCAGGCGGCAGCAGCAGCTGCTGTTGCTGCAGCTGAAGCACGCGGTCGAGCGCTCCAGCAGCAGCATAAACAACAACAGCCACACAAGCAGCAACAGGGCAGTGGTACGCGCAAGAGAGCCAAGGCACATATGTCTTCCGCAGGGGGAGCAGCAGCAGCACCAGCAGTAACGGCAGCAGCAGCAACGGCAACGGCAGCAGCAAACGTTTTTGCTGATCCACGAGAGCTCGATGGCGTCTATTCTTCTTCGTTTTACCTTTCATTCGTTGCTGCTGCTGCTGCCCACGCGGTTTCTTCCGCAGCAACAGCAGCAACAGATGCTGGTGCAGCAACAGCAGGCCGCCCAAAGCTCAGGGGAGCAACTCAGAAACGACATGCAGCCATTGAACGTCTGCTACGGCTGAGGCCCCAGATGCTGCCCTCTGTAGCTCGTGTGGCAGCGGCAGCTGCTCGCATGCAGCCCCGTGGCTGCACCGCGGCATCAGCAGCAGCACCAGAAGGCACACAGGCACTGTGGCGAGAGGAGTTGGTGACTGTCCTTCGTACCACTTCGGCTGCTGCGACTGCTGCTGCTGACAGAGCTTTCTGGAACGCATTTGCTGTTGCTACAGCTGATGCTGCTGAGGCTTTCGTCCCCGCAGATATCTGCACCATTACCGCAGCAGCAGCAGCAGCGGCAGCAGCAGGAGCCCCAGGATGGAAGGGGCTTAATGAACGCCATCAACGCATGCTCCTAGCACTGCAAGAACAAATAAGAAAAGTAAGGTTTAGGGTCTAGGATTTAGGGCATAATATATGAGGTGGTGGATTAGGGTGTGTCGTTCTGGGCATCCATCGTGCGGGGGCGTCTTAGGGTTTTATCAATTAGGGTTTATGGGTTGTTGCAGCATGCCCAAGGTTACTCCCTTCCTCAGCTGTTGTCATCCTTAGAGGCGCTACAGTCGCTGTTGCGGATACCTTCTGCTGCGCGGCCAGCAGCTACAGCAGCAGTCTCCGCAGCAGCAACAGCAGCAACAGCAGCAGCAGCAGCTTTGGGTGCGGCTGCAGGGGAGCCAGGCGTCAAGACGAAAGCAACAGCCATTGCAGCAGCAGCTGCTGTTGCAGGTGATCTGCCATTGCTGCTGCAGTGCATCGAGGGAACCATGCATACGAAACTAGCACAGGCAGCACAGCGTGCTGCTGCCGGTGCTGCTGCTGCTGCACCTGCTGCTTCTGCTGCTGCTGCACCTGCTGCTGCTGCTGCACCTGCTGCTGCTACTTTTGCCGTCAAGCCATCAGCAGCGGCAGGACAAACAACAAGGGCAGTAGCAAGAACAGCAAAAGAGGAGCGGCAGCCTGTGTTCTGCAGTGTGCTGCTGCGGTGTTTGCGTCTCTTTGCTGCCGCGGAGGTCCCCTGCCCCGCGTTGCTGCAGCTAACGTTCTCCACACTTGCTTCCAGGTCAGGACAGTCTTGTGGTAGTGGTGGGCGAGCTACTGTTACTGCTGTTTATGTTGGTGCTGCTGGTATTGCTGGTTGCGCTACTGCGGTGACAGCGGCCCTTGGCGCGCACCATGGGTCCCTCATATTCGTTCTTGTGTTTCTGTGCTCGATGAGGTTGTTGGGCTGTTGTTGCTGCTACAGTCTCTGTTGCCGTTACTCTGTTACTGCCGCTGCTGCTGCTGTCGTTGCTGCCGGTGCTGTTGCTGCCGGTGCTGCAGGTGCGTTTGGTTTTCTACCGGGCAGCTGGTTGAAGTGGCGGAGTTGCTGCTGCAGCTGCAGCCGCAGGAGAAGCCTCACACTGACGACGAGGCGCTGCATGCATTGAACGCACGTACGCTAATATCCGCTGCTGCACCAAAATGTGCTCTAGGCATCGGCAACAGACTGGCTGCAACAGCAGCAGCGAGGGCAGCAGCAGCTGTAGCCAAATCAGAAACAGCAGCAGCAGCAACAGCGGCCGCCGCACAAGTTCACCTGAGCCGTAGAGAGGTACCAAGTGCGGCAATGTAAATGACATGGAGAGTTCACCAACTCCAGAGTTTAAAGTGGCACACTGCGTACGGTTTAGGGCTTCGAACGGGCGTGCAGTGTACAGATCGCGGCTGTTGCTCTCTGATGTTCAGGCCTCATAGGCGATGCAGCAGCATCTGAGGTGTCTCTGCAACAGCTGCTGGTAAATCAAGCTGCAGGCATTTTGCCTGCTGGGGCTGCATCGGCTATTGCTACAGCAGTCGCTGGTTGCTGCAGCTGCTGTGGCTGGAGCTGCGTTTTTTGCAGCTACTGTTGCTGCAGTCGGTGGTGTATCAATTGCTGCTGCTCCAGTTATTTCTACCGTTGCTGGACTGCGTGTCGCTGCAGCAACTGCTGCTTCAACTGCTTTTGCTGCAGCTGCTGTTGCTGCAGCTGCTGTTGCTGCAGCTGCTGTTGCTGCAGTTGCGGTTCTGTAGCTGTGCTGAAGCAGCTGCTATGGCTGCGGTGTCTGTGCCTGCAGCGTCTCCTATGGCTGCGGTGTCTGTGCCTGCAGCGTCTCCTATGGCTGCGGTGTCTGTGCCTGCAGCGTCTCCTTCGTGCCTACGGTGGCATGGGCCTCACCAGCCCTTCCCTCCTAGCAGCCGCACTCAGTTACTTTAGACGCGCAGATGACACGGGAAACCACCCTGTGGGGGCCTCGGGGCCTTGTTCCGTGTCTCCAAAAAGAGCACATGCAGCAGCTCTACGCGCAATCGCTGCTGCTGCCGCTGCTGCTGATGCGGGAAAAGAGCAGCTGCAGCAACAGCAAGATCAGCTGCTGTCCTGCAGCGCAGCCTATGTGCAGTGCTTGGCTGACGCTGAAACAGCAGCAGCAGCAGCTGCTACTGCTGCTTCACCCGATGGCGTTTCTTCCAAGGACCAGTAAGGAAGTGCTTACGTAGACTGCCGCAGTACTTGTATTTTTAGTTGCCGATGCTGCACCTGTTGCCTCTGTTGCTTTGGGTGCTGCTTCTGCTATTGTTGCTGTTGGTTGAGCTGTTTTTTCTGCAGTTGTCGCTGGTGCAGCTGTTGCCGCAGCTACTGTGGCTGGAGCGACCCCTAAGTTACTGCAACTGGGGACTTGCGGAAAGCGGGAAGGGGGTTGTTGGTGCAGCTGTGGCTGTTGCTGCTGCAGGCCTGCGCTGATACTACTGCATTGTTTGCTGCAGCAGCAGGCGCTTGGCCGATCAGAGCTGCTGCAGCTCCTCCCCACCTTACTGCAGGAGCTGCAGCATGAGCAGAAGCACCAGACGTACTTGCAGTGCTGCGGCCTTGTGCTGTCTGTTTGTTCCAGCTGCGGGGTGCAGCTGTTACAGCTGTGGGAGGAGCTGCTGAGCCCGCTACTGCAGCCGCCTGCTGCGGCAAAGCCTGTAGCAGCAGCACAAGTAGCAGCAGCAGGGACACCCTGGGGAGGCTGGCTACTTTCTCGGCCTCTGTTACAGCACACGCAAGCAGCAATCTCTGCTGCTTGCTTTTGTGGTGTGGCCTATGCTGGCGCCGAGACCGCAGGGGAGAAAATTGAGTTGACGAGTGCTGCTGCTTCTGCTGCGGCACATGCAGCAGCACTAGCAGGCGGGTTTTTGTCCCTCCTTCAGCGCAGCAGCAATAGTAGTAGTTGCCTACGTCAGCTCACTGGGGAGTCGCTGGAAGATTTAGCTACGGATATTTGCGGTACGGGGGTACGGGGCTCTAAGGGCCTTTGTTTGCTGTTGTCCTTGGTGCGGTGCTGCTACTGCTGCTATGCTGCTGCTGCTACATCTGGTGACGCGGCAGCATTGGCTGCATACCACGTCGCGCACCTTCTGTTGCGGCTGTGGCTATTGGGCTGCAGGTCTTTATCGAGTACAAAGTGCTGCTGCTGTGCTGCTCGATCTGCTGCCACAGCAGCACGTGCAGGCGCAGCAACAGCGGCGACATGAGCAACCAGCGGAAGGCTGCAGTGGAACCTCACTTGTTTCAACAACGAAGGAGCCATCTCCAAGCCTTGGTGGGCTTCTGGATGCGGCGTTTCCCGAGTGGCAGCAGCAGCACAAGATGGAAGAACAGCAACCGCAGGAGGCTTCTCTGCAGCACGCGCTGCACCAGCAGCAGCAACTGCTACTGCAGCAGCAGAGCGGATTGGTATTTGCGCTGCTGCTTGAGCTGGCCTGTCGAGGCTCTCCCAAGTGCGTTGAGTGGCTTGGGGTTTGGTGCTTAGTAGGGTTTGGAGGGAAGAAGGGTGTGGGGTGTACAGCGCATGGTGTACAGAAACCGCAACACGGTTCGCTTGCCTTGCGTCACTGCGTCCTGTGCCATATTGATAGACAGTTGCCACAAATTCACAACAATAGCCTCCTCCTATTGGAAGTGAGGGTTTCTGCCGCTGCGGTTGCTGCTTCTATTGTTGCAGGAGCTTTCAGGAACTACCGCCTGCACTGCTGTTGATGCTGGATAGTCCTAAGGAAGATGCCTCCGTAGACGCCCACAGCTCTTCAATGCACCCCACAATTATCTGTTTCTTGCAGTCTGCAGCACGAGGAGCTGCTGCTCTCCGCAGCAACAGTGACAGCAGCAGCAACATCCAGGCCAATACCAGCAACACCAGGGGTAACGGCAGCAACAGCACCCTAGAATCATCGTCTGCACTTGCTGCAGAGGTTGCCCCTACGCTCTGCATCAGCAGCAGCAGTTCTGGGGATTTGGTTGATTCACTGCAGCTGCTGCATCGGCTGGTAGGTGGTGAACAGGCTAATTCGTCCGTGCTGCATCAGCTGCTGCAGCTGCTGCTGCTACTGCCGGCTGCAGAAAGCTCAGCGATGCTGTCTGCAGCAGCAAACCGTTACATGCAGCACCTTGACAGGCTGCTGCTTGCAGCTCGCCTGCAGCAGCGCCACAAAAAGACGAACCCCCGAACGCTAAATCCTATTGCCGAGCCCTAATCTTCCCCAAACAACTACGGACAACTCGCCCTTCCCTTTTTTTTGTTCATTGTTGCAAGGTTACTGCGACGGCTGGAAAATGGGTTGTTGAATGATTGAAGAGCGTTTTCGAAGCTGAGTGAGGTGCATATACACCTCAGACAGGAAGTTTTGGGCCCTTCGCCCTGCGCAATTCTACTTCTGAGCAGCAGCGCAACAAGTAGATGAATGCACATTTACATTTATAGTGGGTTTATATACACCTGGACGCGTCTTTCATGCTGCAAACTCCTAACGGTGTCCTTCCCGCCTTTGTTTATCACTGCGCAGCGGAGAGTGCGGCACCCGTTGCTGCTGCTGCAGCACCAACAGCAGCAGAAGCAGGAAAAAACCGTTCCTGCCGCTGTGGCTCGCAGCAGCGGTAGCTGCAGAGTAAACAGTAGCACCAGATGCTGCTGTTACTACTGTGAAAGGCAAAGGCTGCAGCAGCTGCTGTGGTAGGCAGCAACAGCCGCTGCAGCGACTGCGGGTTGTTGCTGCGATGAGAAACAGTTCTACAGATGTACAGAGGCCCCAAGTCAGCCCTCAGCACACTGCGCGGATGGAAACACCACCTGTTCATGCAAAAATACATCGTCCCCGCACAAAACACACACAAGCAAGCCCCAGCAGAATGCATGCGCACACGCACACCCACCTGCTTGGGGCTACAAGAACATCAAAACACCAAACGAAAGGCCACGTGCCGCCAATGCTGCAGCGACTCTGAGGAAAAAATACCAAAAAAAAGCTGCTGCTGCTTTTGCTGCTGCTGGCAAGCCACAGTCCTCAGCAGCAACAAGCACGACGCCAGCAGCAGCTGCTGCAGCAACTGCCCGTGCAGCAGGAGGAGCTGCAAGGGAAAGGGAAGAGCGCTCAAGTTCACCGCGTGCAATTAAATATACAGTTCACACTATATTTCACAGATTGTATATATACATGAATGCATTTCGTACGGTAGTATGCATTGCGTTTGTAGTAAACTTGTGCATACATCCGCATGTGTCACTCAGCAAATGCATAGTACATATACGTGCCAACAATACATAACGTAAATGCGAATAATAATGACTAGCAACAGACACAGTCAACGAAGGCCCCAAATTTCAATTTGCAATAGGGAACAGTCGCCGAATTCGGAAGTGACAAGACTTTGAGAACCAAACGAAGCTGAGGCGCTGCTGCGGCAGCGCGAGAGGTCAGGGTCTACCCACAAGGCCACGCTGCAGAAACACCCAACAAAATAAAGAAGCAAAATATTGAAATATACCCAGAACGTTGCTGATAAACAAATAAATACAAAGAAATACAAACATGTGCGGGAAAACGCCGAAGTGAAGAAATGCAGAAAGAGGAATAGCCAGCAATGCCGCTCAAAGCAGATAATAAAAACCCAAAGAATAAAATAAAGCTATGAACAAACGAACGACACAGCAAGCTTCAAAGTGCCATATATTACTATTATCAATGCGTTTAATGCATGTGCAGAGCATTCATCACTTTCGCCTGAAGACATGGTAATTCAGCTACTCTCATTCCGACTATTTGCCTTCCTTTCATGCTCATTTTCATGTATTGGCTTTTACTTTTAGTCTCATCTGCATCTGTTCTTGTTTGAGCTTGCGCTTCGTTATTCTGCTACTTATTCATCTGCATCTTGAAGCGCATTTCTACCTGTACTTCTGTTCACTTGTCTTGTGCATAGCCCGCACTCGCACATCTATTTGTGTGCGTATTAATTAACCTGTGTTTCTACCTATGCATATTTGTATTGGTCTGCAGATCTACAGTGGAGCATTTCTGCCTAGGTGCACTCCTTAATCATTTTCGCAATGCTGGTAATTGCAGTTTATTTGTATTTCTTTTGTTATATATGTAGTTCTGCTATTTGCAGCTCCCTGGACCTGCACTTCTCTCATTTCACTAGAATGTCCATGGAGTCGTCGCCTTGCCGATCTATATTTCTGCCTAGTGTACTTCTCTCCTTGTCTTTCGATTTGCTGGTTCCTCTCACCCATCACTCCCAAGGAAAAGCCCTTCGCTGCGCACGCGAAGAAATGCACTGTTGGCGCCCGTCCACCAAAATGCGCGGGGAAGAGGAGACAAAGTAAACACAAAAGCCTCGCTGTACGAAAAGCCTGCGCATGCGTGCAAACTCCAAACAAAAAAAGCAGGGAGAAGCATTCAACGCGCATGCTAAGCCCAAACAAGGCGAACTAAGGACAACATTCTACATTCATGCATGCATGTTCCCAACGAGGAAAGCCAAGAGGTGCATGCAACATCCATGCAAGCCCCCAGCGAGAAGGGCAAAGAGCATCATCCGCCATGCATGCAAAATAAGGAACGCTGAAAACACCGGTGAACTCGTAACAACATATAACGTATATATCTCCATTAAAGGTGGAGTACCCGTAAGGTAAGCTTCCGCGCAGCCGTCTGTGCGTTCATTTGGTTATTACGACGACCAAATGAAAGCACAAGTCGCCCGCGAGAGTGCTTGCAGCGTGAAACCAACAACACAAAAGCAAACAAGTAACTTAATAAACAAAAGCAAAACAAAAGCGCACAAAAAGTGGAGAGATATACACAGTAAACGAAAGCTTGGGACATTGAATAAACAACGAATGAACAAACGAAACCACGAAGCAGCACAGCAGCACCAAAACTTGATATGCAAGCTAAACCAAAAAGGAAGGCAACCCACAAGAGGACAAATACATCAACAAATACATTATGGGCAGCAGCAACAACGATTTCGTCTCGCACAAGCTGAGGTCTTGTGATTCTCGAAGGGAACGGGAGAGAAAAACCCAAAGACATCGTGATTGTCGCTTGTGGCGAGGAAAATGAAGGGAGCTGAATAATATAAAGCACGATTCAAAAGAGCAGATAAAGTGAACCCGTCGTGGCTGCTGCTGAAGATTAAGAAGGGAGTCTGCAACAAACACAAACATATCAACAACTCCCGCACTGCAAATGCTGAAATGAACCATCGAAAAGCTAATTATTTATTTTTTTGCTTGTTAAAACAAATCCCCCAGAAATGCATGGATATGCACATACAAAAGTGCAAAGCTAAAGGCGGGAGGGGGATGCAACTCACGAAAACAAACTCACACATGGAAAACAAATGACCACGACTACAACCAACCAACCAACGAGAAGGACAGATGGCAAGCAACAACAAAAAAGCACGCAACCAAACAAAAGAGAAACTGGAAGCTGGAAGGGCAAATGCAAAAAGAACAACCAAAAAAGCAAATGACAACAAACAAATCGCAAACAAGCACACACACAAAACGTGAATACAGATGAAGATACCACTTGACTGGCATAGCTAGCTAGAAGGCAGACCCATCCGCCCAGTAGCTAGCTGGATAGCTAGGTAGCTACTCTCCCAACAAGGTAGTCATACATGAAGCTAGCTAGCTGGCTAACCAACTAGCGACGCAGCTAGCTGGCTATACATCGGGCAATCCAGCTAGCTGGCCAGGCCATTCTAAGGGAACTGTGAGGCGTACGGAATATCTGAGTATGTCAGGCAACCAGCGCCAAAGTGTCTCCCAGGTATCTAAAGAAGTGATGATCCTTGAGATGCCTTCCGGGCGAATTGTCAAGAATTCGTGCTGCAACAAAACACAAACCCTAAACCCTAATCCCTAACCCTCAGACCTCCAAGCAAACCCCAGACGAGAAGAAAGAACAGGATGGTAGCAAAAGCTAAAACAAAACTACGCAAGAACACAAACCCTAAACCCTAAGCCCCAAACGCCAGGCACTAAGCCCCAAACCCTCACAATTTTTGTGGACATGAGGTAGGGGCTCTGCAGCCCTGTGGTGCCGTCCCTGCGAACCAACAAACCCTAGACCCTAAACCCAAAACGCTATGCCCTGAACCCTGCAAAGAAGGGGAAGGATGGCATGGATGTGAAGGCACGTAAGGGGGTAAGGCGTTCTTAGGGTTAGCTGCGAGGTTTATGCTTAGCTTTAGGGTTTAGACACAGGGCCAACTGCACACAAGGCCTACCCAACAACACGCCAAATGTGCGGCTTTAAGTTTTGGGCCGTCTGCAGCTCACAGCAAACACTCCTAATCCCCAAGCCCTCGACACGCACATCGCTTTGAAAAGCTTCAAAAGGCATGAGCATCAGTTCGCACCGAATGCGCTGTCAAGATGGCACGGCCCAGAGGGAGCCGTATGTCCGTGGGTTTATGCAAGGCAAACGAAGTGGAAGAAGAACTCAATAAGGAGGTTAGGGCTCAGTAGAGTTTAGGGTTTTGGGTTTACGGAAGATAATTCGTTGATGCTTAGCCGCGGGTCTGTGCTGCAGCGATAAAGAACTCTTTCGGCAGCCTCAGTTGTGTCGCACGCCATCAACTCCGGCTGCAAGAAGCCACACACACCCCAAACCCTTAACCCTAAACCACAAATATACCCCTATGCTTCCGGGCTCAAACCACATCCTGACAAGCAAATACCAACTAAAATCTTCACCGGAAACTCGAACCCTTATTCTAAACCACAAACCCTAGCAAAAACCCCAAAAACCTGAAGCCAGGGCCCCAAACCCTAAGTACCGAAGCCTGAAATACTGATAACAGCTTGCACCTCTAAGTGCAGCCCTACATGCTGCACTTTTCCGCTGTGGCTCATGCGCCTACACTCTCCACCAAACCCTAAACACTAAACCCTTCGCGTAGTTGCTTAAGCCTGCAGCTTCAACCCTTAAGCCTCCAGCGATGGACCTTTTGATCCTACAGCATAAAGCCTGAGGCGTGCGTATGGCTTGAAGTGTTGGGGTGTATGCGTAGTGCAGATTTTAGGGTTTCAGGTTTCGGGTGTCTGTCTGACCTCCAGAAGCTGGACCAGGGCGAGGGAGAACTTGCATAGGGCCAAACTGCCTTCGAAGAGAAAGGCGCTCATAATGCGGAGGACAAAATCAAAAGGCAGAAGACGCGCAAAGGCATCCTGCAACCCCCGAGCCGCCCACGCCGGCACGTCAACCCCCAAGTGACGCATGTGCAGAAACAGACGCGGAAACTTCAGCCTTATTGCCTCCACAACAGCAGTCACTAACCTGCAGCAACAACAGCAGCAGCAGCAGCCAGAGGAACAGCAGCAGCAGCAGAAGCAGCAACTAAAGTGGAAGCTTGCGCCCGTACTCTCCCGCCTTTCGCTGCCACCCATGCCGACCAAGCATGCACCGAACACCCACAGTGGACAGTCCATGCCACCCAAACACACACATCAATCAGAAACATGGGTCTTGCCACCCCAAGCAGTGCAAGCAATATACACTCGTATTCTTCGCCTTCAGGCGAGCTGCGGCTACGCTGCACACACTTTCACTCCGTTCACGCTGCACATACACTCCATACATACTTCATATACACTCCATGCAAACTGCACATACATTCCAGACGCACTGCGCACGCACTCCACTGACACTGCACAGGCGCCGACACTCCGCAAGACAGTTACACTCTTCAGCCCTTGGCTATTAGCCTGAAGCCACATGGAAAGTGGCAATCATTTGAGGAAGATCCTCTCAACCTAAAAGCCTAAGCCTTAAACTGCGCCGCTAAGCCATGCAGCGCATTAGCTAATGCAGGCACTGTCACAGCTGCAGGCTTGTGGGGATCAGTAGTTTCGGGTCCGTGAGAGGGTCTAGGATATAGGAAGGATTCATTTGGGCCTTAGAGAGGGTTTAGGGCTGAAAGACGGTTTATATTTTAGAGGGTTGCGGGCTTAGGACATGCCAGATGAAGTCTTTGCGCTTGATCACCACGTGGTCCAGCTTCTGCACGACTGACACCATGCCGCCCGCAACACACAAACACTACATCTTAAATACTAGCCCCTAGACCCTAAACCCCCCTAAGTATGAGGACTAAGCGCGAGCTACCGAATAAAAACTTTCGAAGAAGAGAAGGGGGAAGACGTTTCGGCGGTTTGCACGAGGGTATACTTCTGCGAAGAGAAGAGAGTTTAGGGTCCAGGGTCTAGAGGAAGTTAAGGGTTTGTGGCTGCTGACATTTGTGGGCGCCTGCGTTCTTCCTCGCAGTTTCCTGTGCTTTCTTTATGAGGGAGAAGAGGACAGAGAAGGCAGCGGGTTCGCTCATGTAGAGCAACAGAATGCAAGCAAGGTGGGGAATAATCTACGCGTAGCAACACAATGAAGACTACGAAAACACAAAACAAATAAACATCCAGCTGCAAGATTCAAAGCCATCAGCTAAACACAAAAAATAAAGCAGCAAAGGAAACGCAATACACCCCTCCAGTTGGCGACCCACAAATACATGCAGCGAAGAAGCCCTAAACCCTAAGACCCTGAAACGTTCAAACCTTAAAACCTCAGACTTCTATACCCTCAGCATACAGCAATGCAAAAGAAGCCAAAATGGGAGGAGGTGTCACTGGAAGAGAAAAAGGGAGACATGGAAGCGGAGTAGTTCAGTTGTATGCATCCATCGTTGCAAAAGCACAACGTACATCGCAAACCAGCACCCAAGAAGCGCATGCAGATGCAGCAAACTCACCGGACAGAACTCCAAGCCTCCTCTAAAAAAAGCAAAGAGTGCCCACAACAGCCGCCGTGCAGCTGCCTGCCCGCTTGGATTCAACAACCGAGAGAAATCCGTCACGTCCTCTAGGAAATAGACCGTCGTCCTGAGCCGCACCCCCAAATCCTAAACCCTAAACCATAAAGCCAACTAGCCCCTAAAAATTCCCTAGCCTTTGCGATACGCCACAACAGACCAACAAACCCGTCGCTCCAAAGTCTAAACAATACAAAAGGAAGGAAGAGGCTATACAGATGCTCTTTTCGTCCACACCCACAACCTGAAGAAATTCTAAACCCTAAACCGCAAACCCCTACACCCGACACACGCCCTCAAATAAGAAGCGAAAAATCCAAACAGAGAACATACGCAGATACGAACTTAAGCAGTTAGCAACGAACATACATACACCAAGCTTCAGCCCTCGGCACGTAAACCCTATTCCTAAACCCTAACACCTAAGTCATAAACCCCGGCTAGATGAGGCAAAGAGCAATATACCCGTCCGCCTTTTCAATTTGTTCTTCCCAGCTCTTGGATTCTTGTACCGGTGATCTACTGGGCGAGCTTTCCGCTGTCTCCTGCTGCTGCTGTTGTTGCTGCTGCTGCTGTTGTTCGTAGTAGTCAACGCTGTTGGGTGGAAGGGGAGGCAGAAGCAGCACGGGAGACTTGTATTGAGGGTCTGGCATAGTGGCGCTCCTGTAACGCAAGAAGGGGGCCCCTTCTGCTGTCGCTGCTCCTGTTGCTGCTGCATCTGTCCCCTGCAAAGCTGCATTTGGGACTGAGGAGGACTGGGCAGCGCTCTGACTCTGCTGCGCCTCTTGCTGCTGCTGTTGCTGCTGTTGCTGCTGCATCCGCTGCTCGAGGGACCACTGGCTTTCTGGGAGGAGGCCCTCATTCGCGTCATCTTCTGGGAGTGCATGGAGGCTGCCCCCTCTAAGAGGCGGGAAATCTGCTGCTGCTGCCGCTGCTGCTGCAGTTGCTGCTCCCTTAGCAGACTCAATGAGGTCTTCACTGAGTGTGCTGCTGCTGCTGCGTCTGCGGATATCTCGCACGGCAGCGCTTGCTGCAGCAGCAGCGAGTTTGTTCGTCTCAAAGGGATCGTCTCCAGCTCGCATCGCATTCCTTAAGAAGTCAATTCTCTTCAGCTCCTGTTCCTCCCGTTTCCCCCTTCTGCACAAACCCATCCCCGGCAGTATACGAGATAAGAAACTCTTTCGAGGCGCAGGCTGCTGCGAAAACATAGGCGACTCCCCAGCAGCAAAGGAAAAGCGCCCAGCTGATACCCCTGCGCGCCCGCCAAGGGGGCCCCAGGAAGGCCCCCCCTGCGGGCTCTTTCCCGTGGGGGGGGCCCCCCAGATGTCGCTGTTGCTGCGCGCTGCCTGCTTCAACCAGTTGATGACGGAAGCGTTGCCTGCGTTATTGCCGCTGCTGCTACTGGTCTGTGTGGCAGCAGCAGCAGCGGCAGCCCCCTTCGGTTTGATTTTGTTCTTAACATTCGACAGCTTGCTCCACAACCCTCCAGAGTTGGGAGATAGACAAGCAGGAGGCGCCAACAGCGCGGCGGCTGTACGGCCTGGACTCGGGGCCCCTCCGACGGGAGCCAGCAGCCTCCCAGGGCTTGCAGCAGAAGCAGCGGGGGAGCCTGGGAATGCGCGTAGAGAGGATGGGAGGCCTCCATGGGAGCCCCCAAAAGGCCCGCCGAGAGGGCTTAGGTGCTGCTGCCCAGACCCTCTTTGACCCGGAAGCGCCTGCTGCACTGCTGGGTCATTGAGGCGCCTTGGTCTGCTGAACTGGAGAGGGGAGTGGGGGAGTTTTTGCTGCCTTTCTTTTGCCGCTCTACGTCTGAGGAAGCTGACAAAGGACTTTGTAGGGCCACTTTGTCTGGGTGCTGCTGAGGTGGAGGCGGTTGGGTGCGCCGCTGCTGCTGCTGCTGCTGCTGCTCTGCTGGGGTAGGCGGGGGAATCAAAAGCAAGGAGCTGCGACTCAGAGGCACCTCTGCGTTTGCCCTTGCCTTGGCCCCAGAGGCCCTTCGCTGCGAGATCAAAGGAAGTTGAAGTGTAATATCGCCGCAGCAGCCACTTGTCTTGCTCGTTATCGAATTCACGTGCTACAGCCATCACAGCTGCTGCCGCTGCTTCAAAAGCAACACGATCCCGAGATCGCTCCGTCGCCTCCCGCATCTGCACTGCCTGCCGTTTCGCTTTCAGGTGCCTGTGTCGCATGTAAGAAGAAAACTCCACAAGTTCATCGACCTCTCTACGGCCAAACAAATCTAAGGCCACTTCTGCTTCAGCAGTAGAAGACCGACCCAAAGGGCCCCCTGCTCCCCCTCCCAAGAGGGCCCCCCCTCCTGCTGCACCTGCCGATCCTTCTGTGGCCCCCGCAGCATCTGCTGCATCTGCTGCGCTCTGCTGCACAGCTCTCTCAGCCTCTGCAGCAGCTCCCCCTCCGCCTTCAACTTCACCTGGTAAGCCACTTCTCCTCTCGCCTCCTCCCTCCCTCCCCGCAGACTCTCCAACAGGGAGCTGCTGCTGAGACTTGGAAGGGGGCCCCTTTTCGCTCGCCTGGCTCTTGCTGCCTCTGCGTTGCCACCGGCGGGCAGCCCGCATAACAGGCCCCACCCGCGGTGCTGCTTTGGCTTTGGCTGTCGAGGCAGTCGAAGGCGTGACCTCGGGGGAGAGTTTGCTGTTAGGCCCAATGTACGCCAGTAGCGCTTCTATTGACTCTTCTCTCTTGCAAGAACCCTGACCTTCGCTATCTACCTGCTGCTGCAGGTGGTGATGGGGAGGTTGGGAGTGTCTGTGGCGTCTGTGATTCCTTTGCTGCTCTTGATTGCTGTTGCGGCCCGCTTTGTTCTCCTGCTGCTGCAGCTGCTGCTGGATCTTCTCCTCTGACTCTTCCGCCCTCCGGCTGGTATCTGGCCAGAAGTTGAACTCCGGCTTCAGCCGCTGCCCCAGGGGATTTTTCCCTGGGCTTCTTGCATGGCTCTTGCCTCCAGGCGACATAATGCCGGGTAAATACGGGTGCGGTAGTCGAACGCGTGCGGGGCGAGATGTACTGGTTGCAGTTGCTGTGCCGCAGTCATCTGGGGCAGATCTCCAGGTGGCCAGCGGCGCGTCCCCATCGAGTTCAAGCTGATTGAGAGTTGTCTGTACACCGCAAACATCCTCTTCTAGCCCCAACAAACCCCCACTAAACGTAGGGCATCGCCCAGGCACAGAACCCGGAAAAGGAGGAGGCCCAAATGACTCCAGCTGCACCTGTCTGTACAGCGTAGGATGCAGCCGCTGCTGCTGCAGTGCGTCATTCGAATGAATCAACACGCAGCACTTAAAGGCGTCCGGCACGCCTGCCCAAATTTCAAACCGCAGCACATCTCTGACTTGCTCCGCTGTCCAGGGATGGTGGCTTAGAGCTGCAGCGGAGAGATGCGGAGCAGCAGAACCCCCAAATAAAGCAGTAAAGCGATTCGTTCCTGCTGCTGCTGCTGCGGCGGCGGCTGCCGCGCTCGCGCTGACGGCGGAACGGCCAGACGCAGGCGTGCCTCCGCTGCCAGTTGCCGTTGCTGCTGCTGGTGCCGATCCTGGTGTTGCTGCAGCGCATGCAGCAGCAGAAGGCGCTGCTGCTATTGCTACGTCTGCCTCAACAGCAGCGACCGCAGGAGATACATCTGAAGGGACGTAAGGCAGCAGGTGCTCCCGAAAGATGGATTCGCCCTTTGCCTGCCATGCCTTAAGCTCCTCTTGGTCTAAGTGTCTCCATTTGCTGTATTTGTCAACAAGCACCCACGGCTGTAGGTAGCGCCGCGCCGTAGCAGCGGTTGCTTCCGCCCGTGCTGCTGCTGTTGCTGCTGCTGCTGCTGCTGCTGCCGTTGCTGCAGCAGCCACGCGGTCCGATACAGACAACGCACCCTCAGGAGGCAACGGGGGCTGGAGCCCCTGCCCCGGCGCAGAAGGCGTGCTGCGGTCCCCTGGCGCTTGACTCGGTGGAGTGCTGCCAACACCTTGCTGCATGACGTTTGCTCAGTTTTACGGCTTAGGGTTTAGGACTACTGCAGAGGCGACAGCGAATAAGGGGCCCCTGCGACAACCTCCGCAGCGGGAAGGCAGCAAGGAGCAGAGATAAGCGGCTGCATGCAACCGCCGCAGCAGCTTCAAATCGCACATACGCATTCAATAAGAATGAATGCAAGACCCTAAGAAGCGGCAGCTGCTGCAGCAGCGCTTCTGGGGAAGGCACCGCCCTTGTACGTCTGGACAGAGGCAGCAGAGGGACAAAGAAGACGCAGGAATGCCGACAGCTGCAGTGTCACCGCAAATAGACGCTGCTGTTCTTGCACAGCGGGCTGTCAGGCAGGTTGTTTCAGCTGCTGGAGAAACACGAAGGGAAACGGCTGCTGCGGTGTTGCTGGGGCCACTGACAAGAAGCGAGCGCATGCAGCTCGTAAGAGTCCTCGATGGGGATGAAAAGGAAAGAGAGCGTCAAAGACAAAGAAGGACTCTTCTGTCGTGAGAGGGAAGTCTGTCGGTTGAACTGTGCGGCATGCCGGCTGGCTTCGTGAGAGAAAAAAGCGGCCAAAGTTAAGCGGAAACTGAGAGAAGGGGAAAAGATAAAGTCAAAGAAAAAGTTTTAAGGAAAGAGAAATGCAGCAGCTGAGCGGGTAAGCGGCGAAACCCAAACGTGAACAAACAACATGCAGCTGCAACGACACAGGAGCGACCGAGAAGATTCGCTGCAAAGTCGTTGTATGGGTTTTGCTGCAGCGATCTCCTATGAAACCAAATTATAAATTGCTTTGAAAAGGATCAATTTCACAATATTCGACAAGCTCTAACTCCTCACATCTACGGAACTCCTTCCCGCCAGGGCTGCTGTGCAGCCTTCACAGCCTGACGGCGACGCAACGAACGTACCTGCATGTACACCCCAATGAACGGGTCCTAAATCTCCGTATTATTTGTTAATTAACAGTTTTAATATTAAAATATAATCCAATTATCAACTTCGTGCACTCAGCTTCTGCATTCGCCCCCCAGCAAACCCCAACGACCCCCTGGTCAGCTCAGCTCCAGAATTGAAGGGGTTGGGCTACGGTTCCGCCCACATCAGGAAACCTCAAGAAATATCACTTTAAATGCTCTGTAGATACAACGTGTGTTCATCTTTCCACAACACAACACTACTGCTCACCCTTCCCCACTGCAGTTGTACGTCCTATAGCCAGCGTGGCTTGTTTGCTCCATTATCAGCGCCAGTGCTGTGGCTTTGAAGGCCACTGTTCGTGAGATCTGCAACTGCAGTTGCATAGAGTGCTTTTGCCGCTGCACATTGTGTTGCAGGTGTGCTCTTTGGGTACCTGCTGCAGCGGAAGTTGTTTTTAACAGGAGCGGCAACGCCTGATCTCCTGGGGAGCCACACCGACGTGCTGCCAACGGCCTTCTAAAGCCCTTCCACCTCCTAGATTTAGACTAAAAACCTGAATACTGCTGTTGAATGCGTTTCTAAGCAACAGCGGCGGCGCTTAACTCTCTGACGGCTGCTGCCTCTCCTGAGCACTTAGTTGTTTTCAAAGGGGCTCTCGGCCTTCCTATTCAGTTCGTGTAGATAAAAAGATGTGAGGCAGCGGTTTTGTTTACAAGGGTCACTTGGGCTGTGAACAGCCTCGCAGGTGCACGTAAAGCGCAGATGTGTGCAGACACTCCAGTGTACTTTGCACACGCTCTGCGTACACCTGGGGAAACTTTATATATATATATATATATATATATATATATATAGTCGGAGGCCGGCGCTGCTGCGGCTGCAGCCTTGATTTGCATGCAATCACGATCGCAGCAACGACGTGCACGACACCACGGGGCCTGAAGTATAAGCAGAAGGGAATAAGTACAGTTCATCGCCTTTGTGCATATTCAGGCACTCCTCCTGCTGCCCTCCACAGTGCACATACACCTCAACATTACAACTGGGCTCCCAAGGCTGCCCATGAGGAGGTCATACATGTGTAGTAGGTTGCATGCATATGCTTGCACGCAGATATATATATTATATATATAACCAACGTGTGTGCATTGATATCATCGTGCATTTTAGCCACTGCACACACATAAGCAATAACTACTATTATTTGCTGTGGCCGCCACCTCCTTCCGCGCTGACGGATCTGTCTATCTCTGGCAAGTAGCCGAGATGCAGCCTGGGATTGCATGCATTTAGTAGTGGCAAAGGAAGGAAAGGGGAGGGGGGGCAGGGTAAGCAAGGGAGAAGCAAGAAGAGGGAGGCACCCCTATGGGGAGGCGTCCGCTGCATGCATGCATGCTTGCTTACACGCACGCAGCTAGCAGTGAGCCTGAGATATAGGAATAAAGAGAAGGCCATACAGAAACAACAGCAGGGAAGAGGTTCTGTCGATGGTGGCTCAATGCGATTTCAACTCCTTCATTGCGTCCAGCAGTTTGAATTCATCTGGCAAGTAGAACTGCAACATAAAGGACAGAAATAAGGAATAGTTAGGATGAATACAATCAGCCACTCAAAAACAGAAAACCACGAAGCGTAAGGAATAGGCAAACGAAGTGGTGGCCAAAAATGTCTCAGAGCGTGGAAGCATATGTGTATTTACGTGTAGATGCACATACGTGCATATTTGCCTATGTGGCCAATATGTGCATGCACACCAAAATGAAATAAATGATGAACTGCAAAAGACGCAAGATGAACTGTCATCACGCTCAACTAAAGGTGCGAGGAAATACAAGCCACGTACAACAAATGAAGTAATAGCCTTAAACCCTAATAGCCAGACCCAAAAGGGGGTCTTCACTAGCATTGCAACAACGGAAGCAAATACAAATAAATAGACTTCGAGTTTGCATAGTGAAAATGAACTGCTTCACAAAGCAGAACATACAGCCACAAACAAACAAAATGGACAGAGAGCCAACGCAACAACGAAGTATACCTTCAGGCCCCACATCTCGAGTAATTGTTACCTCACAAACAATAAAATTGAACGACTTGAGATCAAATGTATAGATATATACATGTAAATTTATACAAGCAAACCCAACGAAACAGACGTCTACAAGAACTAGGAGCCAACGACCTAGAACCAAAGAACTGGAGCGAAACAGCAAGCGAGCAGCCCCCAGAGCAATACCAATAAAGCAAACACAAAACAGAATACGCTGAACACGCTAGGAGAAGGGGAGCACAAGCAGCTGCGTTTCTAGAGGAAGCCCTTTCGTCTGCATTTCGAAGTAGGCGTGTATTGCTGCTGCTACGCTACTGACAGGCTCATAGGCCAGCGGGAAGGGGGTGTCATAGCCTGTGACGCGTTTGATTGGGGCCTCCAAGTTGAAGAAGCATCTTTCCTGTACCGCAGCAGCAATTTCAGCTGCAAAGCCCATCGTTTGCTGCGCCTCATGAGAGACAAGCAGCCTCCCTGTCTTCTTCACCGAGTTCACCACCGTGTTCACGTCCCAAGGAATGATTGTCTGCAAATCAATCACTTCAACGCTGATTCCCTCCTTCTCTGCCATTTCCGCTGCGCGCAACACGCGGTGAACCTGCGTGCCCCAGGCAACCGCTGTAACCTGCGTAGCCAAGCAGAAACACGAATATTCCAGCGGTTTCAGCAAAAAGTCTGCCACTTGAAATAAAATATCCGCTTGATTTTTATCGCTGCTCCAAGTAATCAATTTATTCTGTTTCTAATATCATACTACAGGCACAATAGGTTATACAAGCACACTAGGCTCCTCCCGTGCGACGGTGCAACAGCTTTGCTATACAATGCTGCCAATACACAAAGCTGAGCTGCGTCAAGGTTCCTTCTAAATGAAGAAACGTATGATGGATAACACCCTACGCTAACAGTCTGCCTAAACCCAAAGCCCTAAAGCCAAAAACAGCCAATACATTTGTTGTATATTCCGAGGAAAACTAAAAACAACACAAAAGAAATCAAATGCCGCACCGCGGCGCACACTCATACAAGCATGCAACACCCAAAACAACAAAGAACTCAATGAAGCAGCTGCTGAAATACAGAGATACAGAAAAAACAGAAGCAATGACAAAGCAATGACAAGGGCGCTGCTGCATACACGAGAACAATCAACAAACAGAACGCAAATGCAGCACAGCGCAGCCTCAGCAGCACAGCCCTCTAGAAGCGAATAAACACGTAAAAGACGGAACAGAAACAACAAGTAAGAACCTATTCGGTGTGCACACATGCTTCTAAAACAAAAGATGGCCGATGTTGCACGAGCCACCCGAATGCGAGCATAATGCAAAGCACCAAGAACAATACGCACCACTAGCACTGGGGCTGTGTGCAGTATAATTAACAGTGGACAATACATCACTTATATGGTATACTATACTCTTTTACACAGAAGTGCACTGATTGTCATGCAAAATCTGCTAGAGCTAGCAAAGAAAGAAACAAACAATAAGACGAGCAAAAACGCGTCCGCGTTTCCACTGCATGCACTGCGAGAAGTTCAAAAACAACGGAGAAGAAATTCACAAACACCAGTAAGTGTTGGTCGATTTACATCTTTCCCCTCCTTTAGAACATCCGCCTCTGACAGATTCAACATGTAATCTCCTGTAGGAACTTCATCTGTTGCGACTCTATAAAGGGCTTTGGGTTCAAAGAAAAGACAGGGGTTATCGTCTCTAATGCAGCTTAGCAGCAGCCCCTTAGCTTGGTAAGGGCCCCTAGGAATGACAATCTGCAAACAAACAATCAAAATAACAATCCGCAAGCAAAACAACTGAAGTGACAACCAGCGAACAGAACAACAAAAACCCTAATCTGCAAACAAAGCGGGGGACATAACAAACTGCAAACAAAACAATCGAAATAACAGGCTGCAGAAAAAACGATTTACATGAAAACCAATCAAAATCAAAATCATCATCGCTACCCCTGCCGATATGCGTTAATGCATTCTCCGTCTACAGATATGTCTTTAGGGGCTAAGGTGGACGGGCAGGTACTGCACATAGACAATGCACTACACACCCGCCCATATATATATATATATATATATATATATATATATATATATATATATATAGATATAGAGAGAGAGAGAGAGAGGAGGGAGAGAGGTTACATATATGTGCGCATTATTTAACAATATAGTAAACAAACCTTAAGGCCTGCAGCATGAGCAAAGTACGCCTCAGGAGACTGCGAGTGGTATAACCCGCCGTGGCCTACGGCGCCCCAGGAGGAGCGGAAAGTCAATTTGCCGCAGTTCCAGTTGTTGCCGCTTCGGTATCGGAATTTAGCCGCTTCATTTACAATCTGCATGAAAACAAACGAAGGAAAAAAACCAACCTAAACCTCAATCCCATTGAAGAACAAAGAAAGGAGATGAGGTCGACTGAGAGAAAAACGCGAAAAAAAATGAATTGGCGTAAGGAAGGGCTCGCTGCTAGGGGAACGCAAGGTCTACACCTCGCGAAACACTAGCGCTCCGAAGTACTAAAAAATAATTTAAACACGTAAATAATATTGCTCATGAGAATATTCTTAACATCAATAGCGATACCAATGGCAAATGGAAGAATGATAGTGTAGTTCAATAGGATGGACGAAGTGGAAGGAAACTGAGGAGTAAATAGAGTTGAAATGGATGAAAAAGCAAACAGACAAATGAAGGTGGCAGCAGAGTAAACAATAAGAAAACAATAAAAAGAAGACGGCAAGACCAAATGAGAGAAAGAGGCAACCCTAAACCCTAAAGCCCATTGCCTGAAGCCTAAAGCCTCTTGCAGCAAAAGAGTAGGAAACCCTGGCTCTAAATAAGAAACAAAGGGCTCCCACAATAATCTATTATTCGTGGAGGTGCCTAGATGCATGTATAAACACGAAAACATCTTCTCGCTGAAGCTAGAGCAAACAGCATGCAAGCAGCAAGTGTCGCGGGCTTGGGTTTACAATAAGGGGGGAGAGGTGATAGGGGAGTGTTGCGCTCCGTCGTTAAATACACTACGTAATACGCATATGTATATATATATGCAAATGCACATTGCATTCATTCATATTGTTACACTTGGCAGGCAAGCCTGTTAAGGAGATGGCGAGGGAAAAAAGGTAGGTCAATATAAGCTCAACAAACTGAAACAACCAATTTAAAACACATACACTCAAATAAAAAAAAAGCAAAACAAACGAAAAATCTCCTACCTGATCAAAGGCAGGGAAGATGTAGTCCCCAAACTGAATTTCAGCTATCGCTGTGTATCCAACAGCGGCCATTCCGACCGCCATGCCGGCAATACCCTTCACATAAATGAACAAACAAGCAGAACAATAGACAGACATTAATTAATCAAGCAATAAACAGACACACAAAAAAACAAGTGGGTAGGAACAAAACGGGAGAAATGCAGCCAAATGCACCGAAAAACCGCACGAAATGAATACGAATTGAGGACAAAACAGGAAGAAACCAATTCATCGAATGAAAATGGCACCAGCAAACAGTAGACAACTGCGGCGATATGCTAAGAAAACAGAAAACAAATAATTCGCATGCATCCCCCTCAATCTGGTAGCTAGAATAAACAACAAGCACGCACAAGTTCACACCTTCCATCCCCAACAAGCAGACGCAGCTCTACGCGCGAGAACCAAATAAGTTGACTTAGTTGTAAATGCCCCAAAACGCAGATGACTCATGTTTGAGAGGAAAAGCCAAACGATGAACAGAACGAAGAAGGGCGTTGCAGTTCCATTCCAATGAAGAATAACCAACTCCGCATGCATGTCTATTTCCACATTCAGCATCACCCAGAGTATATTATTTTAGGTGCAGCACTAATACATTGAACGGAGAAAAAAAACGGAAAAATATTAAACAGAAGATAACGGCTCGCCACCGTTCGAAACAAGCAGCTGCCCATATAAAGAAAGCATACTACACGCACCTCCTACACAACCTAAAGAGAGACAAACACGCTTAAACCAAAACCCTTCTATCTCAGCAAATGTTTCTTCTACACTCAAACCAAGGGGATCAGCACCAACAGAGAACATCAGCCAGTCACCCCTCAACAGCAGACAGAAAGTGCATGGTTTGCAGATAGGTTGAGGATTTTGTTTAGTGGGTTTGGATTTCACCTGTTCAGAGAGAGGAGTATTAAAGACTCTCTGGGGCCCGAATTTGTCCCTTAAATCCACCGAACAGCGAAAAACGCCGCCAAATGCCACATCCTCACCGAAAACGCATGCACTGCATGGAACACAAACCAGCAATCCGCTCTCAAGGTCTCGACTCCCTCCTCCAGTAGCAGGAGCAAAGTGCTGCTACTCCTCGTGCTGCTATTGCTGCTGCAGTCTAAGATCACGTGTATTGCGCACAGAGGTGTGCATGTGAGCAGCAGATTCACTCACAGGCATACACCCACTGCACGTGGCTTAAGCTGAACCTGTTTAACAGTGTGGAGTCATTACAAGATGAGGAGTAAAGGTACAAAGAAGAGGGATAAAGGGAAGAGAAGAAAAGGCAAGAGAAGAGGAGGAGAGCGAAAAGGAGTTAAGATGAAGGCGGTGTACGAGGAAAGAAATAGAGGGAAGAGAAGTAAATAAGAAGAAGGTGGCACAGGACGAAAGAAATAAAGGGAAGACAAGTGTCGCGCGTACGTGGGATCCGTTTCCAAGGCGATATGCATAGCGGAGTTGATCGCAGTGAAGAGGTTCATTCGGGTTGTAGGGCCATCATCTCGTCTCGGTGTTGTCGATGTACGGCAGGCGACTGTGAGGTCTGTGCCAGCCCCCTGCGCAAAGTGGCGTCTGCCGGTTTTGGCCGCTGCTTCCCATGAAGAAGAAGCAGAAGAGGATGGAGAAATGGAAGAAAGAGAGTAAATGCAAGGACGCGCAAATGAAAAGGGAGGAAGCCGCGAAAGAAAGCGGGCGGCGGATGTGTGTGGCAACAACATACTCGAAAACTGAAGTGTATGCTGAGGTGATGGTTGTTCTGCTGGTTTTAAAGCCCCTTATGCATGCATTTCACAATCTTGCAACAATTTTATGCATTTCTATCGAAGCAGAAAAAATGTTCAAGTGGAACAACTTCAACTGCAAACGCCACCACGGACACTGCAGCTACCGCGGCAGACAGACAGCGCGGGAGCCCCAGCAGTACAACGCAGCGTACAATAGGAAGGAAAGTTGATCTATATATGCTTTATTAATACTACTTAACGGGCTTAATGACTCATTTTAACTCATTTCATCTCATAGAACAACTGAATTACATGCGTTGCCTCACACACCAACCACTTTGCCTTCTAGGCGCCCTGCTGCGTCGGAACTGCAAGGGGGCCCCTGATAGGTCAGAGGACATCTATATAGCAAAATTGTACAATATACACATCGCCCGCATGAAATAATAGAAATATGCTCATTCAAAAATATTAAAATAATAATTTTCCTGCTGTGAAGGCCAAGGCGTGTCGTGTCTCCCCTGCTATGCTGGGCCGCCTATTCGCTCTACTAACCCCCTCTTCCTGGGGCTATGCTATGCGTTGGGCTCTCTGTACTATACAAAGAAAATGCAACGGTCTCTTCTTTTACAGATATTCAGGCATACCTTTTTTTCCAGTCTAGGGGCAGAAGCTTTTTTAAGGCCAACTACTCAACATCACAACCACAGCATTACCCGCTCTTGGAACCGCCGCTGCAACGAGAGTCTTCGATCGACGACGGTCCTGAGTTGCAATAGAGTCAAAATACTTAAAAGAAGAATTGCCAGCAAACAGATGTTCTGCCCTCCAGTCTCAAGGGGTCCTGAGCTCAGCGCCATAAGGGCCCTGGAAGGGAGCGAAAAGAGGCGATCCTCTCATGAGTAAAGGCGCACACGACTGCAAACCCTGATGCAAGGCAACTCCAGATGCAGGTATCTCCATATACCGTCTGCTGCGCTTATTAGCACTGTAGGTAATTGTTAACCACTTGGTTGGCCCTCAGTAGCCACCCTGCAGGAAAGTAGCAATATATCTAGCACCTCCAGACAGTGTATGCTACGACTGCGCCCCCCTCTCCCCCCAAACGAGGCAACCCTTGATGTTTCTTCCTGTCAAATTAGCTTTGGGTGGAACGACGGTATGAGGGGGGGGCAACAGCCCCACATATGCTAAATAGCGAAGGGTACTTGCGGCATCTGTCATAGATGTTAATGTAGGTGCTCCTGTTTTAAAGACTTCTGCGAATCTCTTGGGTCATTACTGATCCGAGGGACATCTAAAACGTCGATTTCCTGCTCGAAGACTGCTGTATGAGCGGTTGCGAAGATGCGAGTATTTACAGCAGTTGGGGTGGCAACAAGTCCTCCTGCTGGACCTGTCACGCCATAGGATGTAGCTGCTCTTGCTGCCGCTGCAGCACTTGTTGCTGGTACCGCGTTTGGTCTTTCTTCCGCTCCATTTGTTCCTCCTGTTTACCTTGTCTCTGCTCCTCATGGCTATATCTCATGCTGTTACATCTTTCGATGCTGCATCCCTTGCTGCTGCCTGTCTTTCATTGGCGATGCATGGAGAAAATACATACATAAAATTTCCCCCCCAGTCTTACCCTTGTCTACCGAAAGCATCTTCTGCTGCAGGTTTGCAGTGAAGGCTGGCACTGGTACCGGTGATGCTGCAGCTGCTTCTGCTGATGTTACCCAGGTTGTTGCACCCCTGGCTGGACTATAGTACCATGCTTCTCATTCAATGTGCCTAGTCTGTCTGGCGCTTCTGGGAATCTTCTGCTGCTGGTGGCTCATCGCTCTCGCATGCGGATTCCACATAATGTAGAGTCTCCTCCTGTTACTAGCTACTGCAGAGTTCAACGGGCAGACTAAAGACGCAGCAACGCCTAAGCAACAACCAAGATAGGGAACCCATTGCGACTCTCAGCGGGCAGTAAGGAGGGATGCTAGTTCGTTTCTACTGTGGCTGCTTATCGGATTGAGAGAATCGCTACAATCAAGAAGCAGCGATAATGATCTTTTGGGAAGGACCGTAGTGGAACGGGCAAAGGGGAGAAGGGAAAGTACCGAACTAAGAATGCCTATGCCTACCTTAGGGTCAAACAGCGGCATTTCGGTGTAGACCCGGGATGAAAGACGTCAGCTGCTAGATGGCAGTGGATTGAAGAGTACAACACTGTATCGTGGAACTACTTGGCACAGGGGAGAAAATGAAGCAGCTTTGACGACATGGAGTCGCAAGCACTGCGCAAGTAAGCGTCGTTGCGTTCCGCTTGACAGTTTGCCTTCGGGTGTTCTGCGATGGCCACGTAATGATCAATACCGGGAAGCCTCATGAATTCGGTTCCCCTTCAGTGATGATGCTTTTCGGAAAACCGTGGAGCAGACAGACTTGATTATTGACGAGTTAAGCACTCTCTCTGTGGGAGTGGTTATTCGAACCGAACGTATAGCGGGCATATTTGCAAAACCTATCTACACGGGACAGGAGATGGAGCATGCGCGTTGATTTCAAGTCCCTCAATAAACTCGTGGTGAACAAAACCCGCTTGAAGGGGTCAAAAGGCATTTACCATCTGAGTCCCCCGACTCGTTTCTGCAAATTCTAATACGCCCCGACGGCAGGCTCACGGCTGCGTCTAATCCCAGTACTTGCAGATTAAAATTCATCTGTGTGCATGTGTTCTTCGCAAAAAGCACCTGCTGAACTGCAGTGACAGATCAATCGAGATTTATTCTGCTCAACCAATAAGGGGTGTATGAGTACTACATGCATGGACGGCGCCCTTGTGTTCAGCTAGGGTGTGCAGGAGTGTGTGCAGCACCTGCTACATGGCTGAACATTGAATATGAAGTGGCCAAAGAACGCCAGAGGGATGAATTCGCTCACCCTGGAATCAACTTCACGGTTTCGCAGTATGTTCTATCTACACAGCAAACTTCACCTGGTCAACGGGGCTTGATTCCCTCCCTTGTGGGAAATGGGTCCCTAATACACCACTGGAGTACTTCGTAAGACGTTATCCGGCTTGACTGTTACACACTTTGTTTGCTGAACCAAAGTTTGACCTGGTTGTATAATGCTGGCTGTAATGCTCGTACACACATCTCCGCTGGGGCGCAGGCTGGCCACTCAGGAGCACGCTAGTACTAAGCAGTTCTCTACGATGTTCGTGAATACGTCGAAAGAAGGGGGGAGTGGGGTGTGCCTTCATGTGGGGCTGCCTTGCAACAGGTGTTGCAGCAAGGTTTGCTGCTAGCGACGCAGTCATGACGAGAGGTCGAGCCCCCTAAGCAGTCGCCTCAGAGTTTGAGCCGCTGTGCTGTGCATGCCTAGAGACTGCAAGGGAGCTCAGACGCTTTTATGAATTCTAATTTTAAGCATTTTGACTCCGTTGAAACTACTGCGGTCCTTGGCTAGTGTCGAGGACCCCTTGTTACAGACAGCGCGGTGGAGGGCGGAGGCGGAAAGGTAGAAAGCAGTATCTGAGGAAGGAAATGGTAAATTTGCATTGATGTTTTGTTGAATAAAATAAAGACGGATAGAAGTTTGGATTTATTTTTCGCTAGTTGGTTCATGAGATTTACCCGCCGTGGCTGCTGCGGGCTGTTTGTTGTTTCATGTATGGTCATGCTGCTTGTCACACCCGCGCCGGTGCAAGGTGGCTGATCAGAGTTCAAAATAAGACATTAAGGCACTTTTTGGGAACGCTAAGAGTTTTTATGCGGAGATTTTCACTTTAAAAAGGCGTTCTTCACCGCATTTGCATCGGTGAGCTTCTGGTGTTCCGCTACATCGTGGTGTGGGTTCGAAGGCGGCAAGGCGCGATGATGCTTGGTTACGTGTGTTTCCTTGCATTCTCCTGGATTTCGGGTTTTATTTGTATATTCATTTTCTTGTAAACACCCTTTATTATATGGCTGAGAGGAAATGACTGTCGGGGAGAGCGGGAAACCGTTTTTTGGCCGCCAGCTCATCATTGCTGCTTCACGCCGAATGTCTGACTGCAGAGAATTTGATGTAAAGTTTAATCGAATTACATTTTGTTATTTTGCACTTCTTATTTCGTTCCTTTGAAGTGTTTAAATCCATTTGTGCGCCGTTTTCTGCTCCGCCTTCCCGCGCCTCGGCTGATCATTGCCATGCGACTTGAATGTGCCTCCTGCGGCCGTAGCTCTCGTTTTTTCTCTTTGCAAGAGCAGTATTTATGGCCTTTCCATTTATCCCTTTTATTTGCATTCTTTTCGTGGTGTCTCGACCATCCAAACAGCACCAAGGGGCGGCTTAATTCAACGCTCGTCGGTGGGCGGTTTGATTTTCTTCTCTCTACCCCAGTTATGTGAAGGCGTTGCTGTTTTGTTTGTCTGTTCATTTCCTTCGTCTTTGTTGCATTTATTCAACTCTTGCCCTTCAATATGCAGACGTCTGCCTTTGCTACTGCAGTCGCATGCGTTGTTACTCTCACCTTTCTGTGAGTGTTGGGTTTATTATGCTGATATCCCCAATATTTTTAGCCGTCTTTTCTCCTTTCCCCCCTTTTTAATGCAGGCAAAGGCGCATGCAAACGACAAGGCGAGTAAACAGCAAAACTTTGAAGGAGAGACGATGACAGACCGCGAGGGCCATAGGTTGTACGTCCAGCTTTGTATCTATTTCTCCCCTATGCTGATAATAATTAGAACTATTATCTTTTTCATATATCTTGTATTTATAATAAGGAGGAGAAGCGTTCGTATAAAGCTGCACTCGAGCTGTGGAGAACAAAGTAACCAGACATGCATGTGTACAGAGTTTGTCGTCGTTTTCTTTCTTTCAGTTCATTTGTTTTTGTTAATTTCATTTGTTCTGTTTTATTCCCTTTGATTTATTTGTCTGTATTTATTAATTAATAATAATATCATTATTTATTATTATTTGCGATGGTTGCAGTGGGGGGCTCTCGTGGCGGCGGGAAGGCATAGACAGCGACATGCGTCCTCCGGGCAAGCGCGGAGACAACAGCGTAGCAGGCTGGGCTGCAGCAAACAGCAGCAGCAGCAGCAGTAGCAGCAGCAGCAACGGCAATGAATACAATAGAAGGGCTCCACCTGCTGCTCATGGGTCCTTCGCTTCAGACACCCGCGGCTTTGACGCGTTTCGAACGGGGGGCATGCAAAAGATAGACCACAGAAGCACTCTCCCTCACATTCCAGCCTCTCAAGCAAACGCAGCAGCAGGAGCAACAGCAGCAGCAGCTCCTGCAACTGCCCCTGTTAACTATCATCAGCAGCAGCGAAGAGGCCACACTGCTGCGCCTGTTTCTCGCGGAAGTTTTGCTGTCTTACGACAGCCTGCTGTGCATGCAGCGCATGCAGAGGGTCCTGTAAGCCCCAGCAGCAACAGAGCAGCAACAGCTGCCGCTCCCAACCGCCGGGGAGCGGAGGCCCAACAAAGCCCGAGGGGTTTTGCTGCTTTCCGCAGAGGCGACAGCAGCAGCAACAGCAGCAGCAACAGCAGCAGCAGCAGCAGCAGCAGTAACCGCGCCGCACATGGCAACAACTGGACATCGTCCGCGGGGAGTCCTGAGGGTGCAGGGGAGAGCAGAGCACCAGCAGCAGCAGCAGCACCAACAGCAGCAGCAGCAGCAACAACAGCAGAAGGAGTTCAGCTGTGGCGTCCTCGTCGCGTACTTACGAGAGAGGAGGAGGTGAATCGTAATGTAAAATCTCTTTTAAACAAACTAACTATAGAAAAGTTTAAAGTTATTGCAGAGAAATTAGCACAAACTCTGGAGCAAAGCCTGCAAAATCCAACAGAAATTCGAATTCAAGTCGATGCTATTATTGATAAAGCCGTCACAGAACCCGATTGGTCGGAGATGTACGCAGACCTGTGCCAGGCAAGTCCCCCTCCTAAACCCTAAACCCTAAACCCTAAGGTCTGTATTTGTTTGTGAACCAGAAGCATGCCTTAACGCTGAACCCCAATCAAAGCCCTACAACAAACCATAAACCCTAATTTTTAAACCCGAAGCCAAACCCTACACCCTAAACCCTATGCTCTTTGGTTTTTATTTGTATGCCTTAAAATAAACGCCAAACCCTAGGCCCTAAACACCTATTATATCAAAGACCCTAGTTTTTAGGCTCTCTAGACCCTAAACTCTCCATTTAGAAGCATCTTCCCCTCTCTTGTTTCCTAAATGCAGTGCTTGTTCTGTTTGAACGCGAGGGGGGGCTCTGTTGATTCAAAACTGCATTTTTTGCAGTTTGTTTGTGTTCACCTTTGGTGTTAGCGGCGGGCAATATATTTGTTTTCTTGTGTGGATATTGTATTCCTCTTGTGCTCTAATGCATGCATGCAGTACTGTTTCTCTCGTTTTCTTTATGTAGATGCATTCTTGTAGATGGATATGCGGCTGAGGCTGTCTACTCAACGTGAAACTGCTTTATTTGCTTTCCTTCTTCTTAGGGAGTGTGTGTTGGTGTATGTACTTGCGTACATTTCAGTGTGCGTATTTTTCTATCTGTAATTGCGTGTTTGTATGTATTTGTGTTCGGGTGTTTATGGATATGCACCTACGTAAGTACGTCCCTTTCTGTTTCTGTGTTTATCTCTGTGTTTATGTGTATCTTTGTGTGTATGCATCTGTAGATATGCTTGTGTTTGTTTGTGCTTGAAAGCGTTTCTGTTTGTGTGTGCACTTACGGTGTATGTACAGCTGCTGCAGTGGCGCAGTGTTGCAGCAGAAGGAGACCCGGACACAATTAGAAGAACCCCGTTTATGTTGGGTTTGTTGACGCGAATTCAGGAGGAGTTTGAGGCAATGCCTGCGTACGTCGTTCGTTAGTGGTTTTCCTTTCTAATGCGGTTTAAAGTGCAGTCTAAATGCTTAATTAAAAAAATATATTTGTTTATATTTATTTGTGCATGCAAAACGTGTTTAATTTCGTTCTTCGTGCTTTGGGGTCTGTGCTTGGAGCTGCGCAGCCACACTTAAAATGTGAATCTACATTTATCTGTATTTGTATGCTCAAGTAATTACAATTATATGCGATGCATATACGTAGACATTCATACGACTATTATTATGACGGCAGCAATAGCAGCAGCAGCAGCAGCAGCAACAGCAGCAACAGCAGCTGCAGCAGCAGTAGCAGCAGCAGCAGTAGCAGTAGTAGCAGCAGCAGCGGCAACAGCAGCAACAGCAGCAGCAGCAGCAGGAACTGTAACAGCAGTACAGCTGTGTGTGTGTGTGTGTGTGTGTGTGTTGTTGTATGTATTTGCACAGTATTCATATCTCTGTGCTTTATCCTTAAATCATCGGGTTGTGCATTAACATTTTGGTGTTTGTTTTGTGTTTTTGATTGAATTCAGGGCGCTGCAGCACGAAGTGCATGGAGAATCCGAAGAGATGCAGCAAGAAGCAACTCGAATAAAGCGTCGTGTGCTGGGGGTTGTTAAATTAATAGGAGAATTATTTCATAGAAAGTTATTAGGGTTTAAAATTGTTAATGATGTTGTTGTTGAACTCGTTATGCGAAGCGAAGAACCGGATGAATATCTAGTTGAATGCTTCTTGCAACTTATTTCAACTGTTGGTAAGTCGTGCTGTTATTCTTCTTTTCTTTTTATTTTCTCCCTTATGAATACCTTTGCTTTCTGTTTCGTTGGTTTGTTTTGCTTGGTTCTTTCCTTTTCCTCTCTTATTAATACCTTTGCTTTCTTCTTTGTTGTTGAATGTATCTTACAACTTAACGGTTCGTGAGGCATGTAGCTGTTCTTCTCTTCTTCTTTTCCCTCTCTCTCTTATTAGTACCTTTGCTTTCTGCTTGATTTGTTTGTTTTGTTCGGTTGTTTTTCTCTTTCCGTTGAATACTCAAGGTATGCACTTTTGCTTTCTGTTTCCTTCGTCTGTTTTGTTTGGCTGCTCTGTTATTTTTTTGATAACAATCAAAATGTTATATTTTAATAAGAGTCATATTAGTAATAATTCTTTTTGTTTTCTCTCGTATTTCTGCTGTTTTGTTTCCGTATGGAGCAAACAAATACACCGATGTGGATTAAATTGGATTGTGAATTAAATTAAATTAAATTTAACTGAGTTAAATTGAATTAAATTGAATCGAACTAAACTGAGTTGTACTGAATTGAATTGAATTACATTGAAGTGCATTGTGAATTGTGAATTGTGAATTTAGTTGAATTGAATTGATTCGTGACTGAATGAAATGAATGTATTCTTTCCTTTAAAATCTTTCTTTATTTCTAATTTCTTTATGTTTGTTCTGAATTTCCTTTTGTTTCGTTTTAGTTTGGTCTTGTATGCTTGTTTCGATTTCTGTTTCTGATCTTCTATGTTTTTGTTTATATTCTATATTCTATATAGGATATATACAAATAATTACATGCATATATAATTCGTATTATATATGTTTGTGTATATTTTTTTGCCTTAGGGTTTTTCATCGATCAAAACCCTAAGATGAAAGTTGTGCTGGATTCATGGTTCGGGCGGCTGAAGGAACTTCAAACAAAAAACTACTCCAAACGACTTAAATGCGTTATTCAGGTGCGGGGAGGTTTAGGGAAATTGCTACTTTTCTCTTGTAGAAAGAAAAAGAAAGGGTACAGGGGAGAGATAGAGATAGAAAGACACAGAGAGAGTTTTCATTTGTTTAGATGTATTTTTATCTCTAGCTTTCTTCTTTATTGCATTTATTTTCGTTTACATGGCTCTTTTTTATTTATATTTCTATTTTATTCCTATTCATTTACTTATCTATTTCATCTATTTTGCTTCGTTTGTCCTCTTTACAGGACACTTTCGATATGCGTAGAGCCGACTGGCGAAAGAAAATTCATAGAGAAAGAGCGAAGGCCCTCAACGAACTGCACGATCAAGTAAATACATTCACCTCCATGCATGCATGCATGCATGCAGCTTTGTGTATTGCATGCAGCTCGATGCACTCCATGCAGCCTCAAGCATTGCATGCATATTAATGAATTGCATGCATATTGATGCATATTAATGAATTGTATGCATATTGATGCATATTAATGAATTGCATGCATATTATGCATATTACTGGATTGCATGCATATCAATAAATGTATGAATGTACTTATTAGGGTTGTTTGCATGCATTGCATGCAGCGCAGTACTTTGTTTCTTATAGAGGTAAAACAATATATTATATTTATTCTATTGCTGCTGATGCTGCTTTCTTCTGTGCTCTCTTTGCAGTTAGAAACAGAAGAAGTGCTGGGAGGGGCGGTGCATGCAGCGCAGTATGGAAATATCGTCGTAGTCGGCGAACGAACAAATCTTGTAAGACACGTATAGCTATAGATGAATATACATGTATATATATATATACATATATCTTTATACATATGATATATATACACAAAAATATGCATATATATACAAATATGTATATGTACATACATATATGTACATACATATATGTATATACATGTATATTCATCTATTGCTATACGTGCGAATATAATATGTATATATATGTACATTATAATATTGTATTTGTTGTTGCTTGTCTTGTGTTTGTGTTGCTGCAGAACGGTGAATACTTGGATTATTTAAAGCAGCAAGAAGAGCAGTACCAGGAGAGGGTGGCGAAGAGAATAGCGGCAGCGCAAGCAGCAGCAGCATGCAAGCAAGAAGGGGCTTAAGAGTAATTTATTTTTGTATGTCATTGGAGACTTCGAAAGGCAAAGCAAGCAAAAAGAAAACAAATTTCAATACATATCACCATATCCACACGGTCTTTCTTTACATTCGTTCTTTAGGTGTATGTACAACCCGCTGATGAGGCAAACCCAGTGTACATGCATCTCTTTATTATAGACCTGCTGCTACAGACAACGGCGTTCAAATTCCCCATTACCCTCCGGAAATAGCAGCAACAGCAGCAGCAGCAGCAGCAGCGGCGGGGGCATCTGCATTGGGGTTGCACATCGTAGTTTCTGCTGCAGACAGTGGCGTTGCTTTTGTATGAAGCAGCGAGGCAGTGTTATAATACTACAAAAACAGCAGATAAATGCAAGCAAGGCAAGTGCTGCTGCTGCTGCTGCTGCTCCTGCACCGGCAGCACGACAGCAGCAACAGCAAAAGCCTGTTTATGCTTGATAGGAAGCACGCATTGTGCCTAGCAATAGCAGCAACAGCAGCAATAACAGCAGCAACAGCAGCAGCAGCAGCAGCAGCAGTATGGTTTATTTGTGGAGGGCCGCTATATAAGGGTGGGGGTCCTCAAGGTTCCTGCATATCTGCTGCTGCTGCTGCAGCAACGATTACTTCTGCTGCTGCTGCAGCTTTCGCTGCTGCAGCTAAAGCTGCTGCAGCAGCACGAGGCGTTGGTGCGGCAGCAGCCGCAGCTGCTGCTGCAGCAGCCGCAGTTGCTGCTGCAGCAGCTGCTGCTGCAGGTGAAGGCGGCGGCAGTGGAGACATTACGGTAGTTTTATTATATGCATTTATAATATACACCAATTGTATATCTTATATATATTTATATAGATGTATATTTTATATAAATATGTATTTGTATTTGTGTATTATATGCACTGTGCTTTATATCTGTTTTGCCTATTATATAAATGTTGTGTTGTTTATGTTGTGTTTATATATATATATATATATATATATATTTATATATATATATATATATTTATATACATATATACATATATATGTATATATATGTACATTTATATATGGGTATATTTGTGTATATTATATGATTGTGCATGTATGATGTATGATTTATGTTGTATGTTTGTTGTTTATTATTTTGTGTATTTATTATTATTATTAATTATTAATTATTATTATTACTAATTATTATTATTATTAAGGCGGTGCGAAGAGCACTGCTGGCGTTCTCCGTGTGTTGCGGTGTATATAAATAGATAAATATAATATTTATATAAAATGTGTATATATATAATATAATATTATATATGTATATATATATACTATCAATAATATATATATATATATATTTATTCTATATGTATATATATATATTTTATATAAATATATATAGACGTATGCTCAGCTAGAGACAGGGAGGCCGTGCATGCGTCTTTATCTCCAATGCCGCGGCAGTTTATTTATAAAATTCATTTCTACAATTTATTTATTTATTTATTTATTTATTTATTTATTTATTTATTTATTTACTTCGTCTTATCAGTGCTTGCACCAGCTACGGAGCTAGATATTCAGCTAGCTAGCTAGCTAGAACTAGCCACCAATTGAGGCCCAGCTAGCTAGTTATCTATCTAGCTATCTAGCTAGCTATCTATGTATCAAGCTGTCTATCCACCTATCTAGCTGTCTACCTATCTATCTACTTTTATATCCGTCTAGCTATCTATTTATCTAGCTAGCTATCTATTTTCCTATCTAGCTGTCTGTCTAGCTAAATATCTACCTACCTATCTATCTATCTATCTAGCTAGCTAGCTAGCTAGCTACCAGGCGAACGAAGAAAGCAGCAACTTAAGCCCGAAGTCGCAGCACTAATAAACCCTAAACCGCCAACAGCAGCAAGGCGGAGGGTTTGGGGTTTGAGGTTGAATTCAAAATATATTTAGGGTTTAGAGGGGCTTGAGAAGCCGCTATTAAAACTATCTTTTAGGGTTTAGGGTTTAGAGAAGATAGGAGAAGACGCTCTACAAACTGTATATCACGGTTTAGGGTATAGAGGGAAGAGGCTTCATAAACCCTTTTTTAGGGTTTAGGGTTTATTTATTTCAAAGTGTTTAGGGCGGCAAAGGACCAGTAGCTGCGAGGCAGCCATTCCCTCTCTGCTCTGTTCATACAGCTTCTTGCTGCTGCTTGCAGCTGCTTATAAAGCTGCTGCTGCTGCAGCAGTAGCCAGAGAGGCTGCCTCTTGCTGGTGTGGGGTGTACGTCCTTCTTGCAGCAGCAGGAGCTGCTGCTGCTGCTGCTGCTGCGGATTGTTTCTTCGTGCTGCTGCAAGACGAAGCACTAGCTGGGCGGTGCTGCTACAGCAGCATCGTGCTGCTGCAGAGCAGCAGCAGCAACTAACGCCGAAATGGTATACCTGATGCAGCAGCAGCAGCAGCAGCAAGTGCTGCTCCCCTGCTGCAGTAGGCAGCATTGCTGCGGTCGCACTACAACCCCCAAGGTGCGCATCCTGTTTTTGCTGCCAGCTGCTGCTGCTGCTGCTGCTGCTGTTTGCTGCTGCAGCAGCTGCAGCTTTGGCCTTATCTAGAAGGACGAGGACCTGTTCATCTGCTATAGCAGCATCTTGTGCAGTAAGCAGCAGCTCAGATTCCCCGTCTGCTGCTGCTTTTGCTGCTGCTGCTTCTCCTTTTTCTGTCTTTGTTTCTGGGAGCTCCGTTGCTGCTGTTGCTGCTGCTGCAGGGACCCAGCTGCACAAGCTGCTGCTGCCGTTGTTGCTGCATGCATGCAGCAAAGAGCCGATGGTTCTGCTAAGCTGTAGCATTAGCTGCTCCCCTACAGGGAGGTAAACCCAGTTGCTGCTGTCGGGGTGTACGTTCAGCTGCAGCAGCAGCTCCTCTGCACGCCTGCTTGCTGCAGCAGCAGCATAAGCAGCAGCGTCTTCCGCTTGCTGCTGCTGCTGCTCTGACGATGTTAAGGTGTCCCTTTTGCTTCCCTCTGCGGTGTACATACACCCGAACGGCAGCAATGCCTCATCAGCTAGACGGCTGGCCCAGCCATCGCCTTCAGCAGACAACTCAAATCCCTGCTGCTGCTGCTGCTGTTGCTGCTGCTGCAGCAGCTGCTGCAGGGGCTGCGGCATCAGGATATCTGTGGTGAGAGGTTTAAAACCTTGAGGGTCCGCTACAGCCTCAGCAAATTTTGCTGCTATTAGGGCAGAGTGATTGTCGGGGCTGAGCAGCAGCAGCTGCTGCTGCTGCAGTGCCTGCTGCGCCCAAACAGCAGCAGCAGCAGCATCAGGGGCAGCAGCAGCAGCGCCATTGTTCCAGCTTTCAACCCCCTCCTTGCCCCTGTGCGACGCAGCAGGAGCAGCAGCAGCAGCAGCAGGGGCAGCAGCAGCAGCTTCTGCAAAGTTTGCTGCAGCAGCAACGCTCGCCTCGATGCTGCTGCATGCGCATGCATAGAAGGAGAAGCAATTAAGAATTCGCAAACAGAGCTGCTGCAGCGCTTCAGTTGTCATGCATGCAACAGCAGGCGTGGGGCCCCGATGCAGCAGGAGCAGCTGCTGCGATCCCTCTGTGTCTTTTCTCTTAGCAGCAGCAGCAGCAGCACCAGCAGCAACCAAAACTTCTTTCTCCACCTGCTGCTGTGTTGAGGCAGCTCTCCCGGTCTCGGGCTGCTGCAGCAGCTGCTGCAGCGCCTGGGCGCTGCGCTGCTGCTGCTGCAGCAGTAGCTTGCAGCAGCTGCTGCCCCCCTCAAAGACCGACAGATACTGTAGAAAGGAGTTGCTGCTGCTGCTGCTGCTGCTGCTGCTGTTGCGGCCCCCCCCAGCAGAGACATCCTCGAGTCTAAGAGAATCAGGAAGCGAAGAAGCAGCAGCAACAGCAGCCCCAAAGGAACCTGTATCTCTGTCCTTGCTGCGCTTGATAGAGGAAGCTCTGTTGCTGCTGCTGCTGCTGTTGCTGCTGCTGCTGCTGTTGTTGTTGCTGTTGGCGAGCAGCAGCAGCAGATCCTCTAGGCCTGCAGGGTTGCTGAAGCAGTCTTCGCTGCTGCTCTGCAGCAGCAAACTGCGCAGCTGAGGATAGAAGGAGCCAGCGGATTGTTGCTGCTGCTGCGTTGTTGCTGTTGCTGCTGTTGCTGTTGCTGCCGCTGTGCTTGTTGGGAGTGGGGCTGCGTCAGGAGCCGGGGCCTGCTGCTGCTGCTGCTGCTGTTGCTGCTGCTGGGCCAGCTGCAGCAGCAGCAGCAGCAGGTGCGGCAGGGGCTGCTGGTCTATTGAGTGCATGCAGCGCGTAAGATAAGACCAAAGAAGAGAAGGAAGCAAACTTGCAATAAACCCGCGGATATAAACAATGCATTGACACCTGGATAGTGCTAGCAGCACGCAAGATGGGATCGACTGGGGATCGTCTACGATCCCAGGATCCCCACGATCCCGATCCCGATCCCGATCCCGGATCCCCACACGTGACAAAGATAAGGATCCGCCCCCACTAAGCAAACGCCGGAAAGAGTACATACTCCTTCTGCTGCTACGGCATCCCCCTGAGGGAGGAGTTGTTGCTGTTCCTACTGCTGCTGCTTCTGCTGCTGCTGCTTCTGCTGCTGCTGCAGCTGCAGCAGCGGCTGCTGCTGGGGCAGCAACAGAGGCTGCACCAAATCCGATCCCTGCAGCAGCAGCAGCAGCAGCAGCAGCAGCAGGATTTTCTATGCCATCTTCTTCCCCCGAGTAGAATCCCTCATCTGCTACTGCTTGTGGGGTGCGGCCATTGCTGCTGCTGCTGCTGCTGCTGCTGGGAGCTGCTGCTGCTTCCTGCCACTGCATACAGCAGGCTGGATTAACGGTGCGGATAGCAGCATCTGCCTTGTCGCATAGAAGCCACCAGGAGGAGAGTAGCAGCAGCAGCGGGTCGTCTGCTGCTGCTGATGTAGAGCACAGCAGCAGCAGCAAGCTTGAATAAAGAATGCTGCTGCTGCGGATGCAGCAGCAAAATGTAAATGCTCGAGACAAAACAATAAACACTTTCTGTAATACTAAATGAAGACTCCCTTCTTCCTGGGGCGCTCCTCTGCACTCTTCACTGTGCATACACCTGAAAAACAAACACAAATACATTAACAAAAAAAACAAATTCTCTTCTCCTCTGCATGCATGCAGAAAGCAGAAGTGATTGCATGCAAAATCATCATAACAAACTCTAGCTTCAGCTGTACATGCAGCTCAACCTATATATATATATATATAGTTCCTACACTGCTGCTACTGCTGCTACTGCTGCTGCTGCTGCTGCTGCTGTTGTTGTTGTTGCTATTAGACTGGGCTTCTTGGTGCGTTGTATGAACATTTGTTTTCTTGCCTTGAGTAGGGCGCTGCTGCTGCTGCTGCTGCTGCTGTTGGTGCTGCTGCTGCTGAGGTTGTCTCCGCGGGAGGGGCCAGCAGCTGCAGCAGCAGCGCATGGAGTTGGTGCAGCGCTGCTGCAAAGGCGAGAGGATCTGAAGAGGAGAAGGAAAGTGTGGGGTTAGCAGCAAAGGGAGAAGAAGCGCTGCATGCAGCTGCTGTTGCTGTTGTTGTTCTTGCTGCTGCTGCTGCTGCTGCTGCTGCTGCTGCTGTCTCAAGGGGCAATTGCAAATGGGTCAAGGGCAAACTTGAAGCAGAAACAGCTTCACAAAAACGTCTAAACACTTCCGCGCTCCCACATCCATTCAAACTGCTGCTGTTGCTGCTGTTCCTGCTGCAGCTCTTGCTGCTGCCGCTGTCATTGCTGCTGCTGCTGCTGCTGCTGCGGCTGTTGCTGCTGTTGCTGGTGGTGCTGCTCTGAGGAGCGACCGGAGCTGCAGCTGGCGGCGTCCCGCCTGCGCTCTGCCGCTCTTCCAGCGCATCACTTCGAGCATTTTTCGCTGCTAAGTTTGAAACTCCATGGCCGAATGCTGCTAATGCATGCAAAATAGAGGAAATAAGCGGATCTAAGGAGGCAAGATCTCCGTCCTCGTTGTTGGCCGCTGAGGCGCTCGAGTTGAGTGTTTCTGTGGCTTCTTTTGCAGAAAAAGACGTCACAGATGGCATTCTAATAAAGAAATACCTCTAAAAGCGCAGAAAAAATCAAAGATACATAATAAATCTAAGGGTGGAAAGCCCTGCACAAGCATGCGGCGCAGCGAATAACAGACAAATTTCAGAGCAGCCGGCGGGCCTCCCGAGTAAAATCGGGAAAAAAATAATAATTAAATGTTCATTTTCATCAAAAATGTTGAAATTTCCTTCGAAATCCGTGGAAAATATCGACAGTATGCAGACGAGCAGCTGCCTATACACCCGAACCGTTGCAACGCGCGAGCCCCCATTAGAGGGTGTTTCAAATTGAAAATAATTTGTTTTTTCCTCTGCATTTGTAATTTAATTGATTTATATATGGCATTTATTCTTTTTGTAATACTCCATTTCTCTTATTTTCCCTAGTAAAGGACACCCCGCTATGCAACGCATGCTCTAGTCGGCAGCGGAGCCCCACGCATTTCTGTTTAAGTATCATCTTTAGCTTATGTTGTATTATTATTTCAAAAACCTAAAAATAAATAAAATTAAAATTAATAAAATAAATAAATTAAGTGGATTTAACAGCGATTGCGGCCTCAACTCGCTGCAGATTAATCAATGCACGTCTTAACAACACTACACAAAACTGCTTTTCTGTTTATTCATCTAAAGACAAAAAGAATTTAAAATATTTTAATTCAAATTTACTTGTACACACAAAAACCGCAGTTTTTGTAATCAATAATCCATTTAAATTGAATTACTACTCTTCTCGCACCCTATACAAGCTATCGATTGTCATGCAATATGTATGCATATATAATTATATACATAATTATATATGTATTATTTATATTATATATAGAATACAATGCAGCAAATACATATATATGCATATATACATATATATATGCATATATTTATATACATATTAAATATATGTGCGGCAGATCAGCGACAGCCAACCAATAAAAGAAAAAGACAGAGAATAGATACTTAAATTCAAAGCTGCATCCACTTGCAACAATTATTTATTTAATAAGAAGTGTTTATTTAAACAAAATGTCTATTTAAAGAAACTGTTCATTTAAAGAAAGGGCTTATTTAAGGATTGGGTTTACGCAGCGGCCTCCCATAACCCTAGCAGACCCCGAACGGTCTAAGAAACCCTAAACCCTAAACCCTAAACCCTAAACCCTAAAAGCAATTCTAATCCCTAGACCTAAACCCTCAACAGCGAACTTTCGCCTACAAACTCTAAACCCTAACCTAACCCGTAAATCCTCTAAACCCTATGCAACCCTAAACCCTAAACCCTAAACTCTAAACCCTAAACCCTAAACCCTAAGCCCTTCCAGTGGCTCTATACTTTGTGTGTACATCCACTGCATGTGTATAATAGGAATGTATTATCTGCGTCAAATTAACAGCAAATAATCATTTAAAAAAACAAGAAGATAGAGTTAATAATAATAATAATAATAATAATAATAATAATAATAATAATAATAATAATAATAATAATAATAGACTCAAGCTTGGCTGTCTGTTTCTTTTTTAATTCCTTTGCATTGTTCAGCCACTCGTTTCTTTTTGTGTTGTTTATATATTTCAATTTCATTTTGCAGCCTCGCGAAGCTTACACCGTCATCTATGCTCTGAGATAAACAATATATATACACACACACAGATGCACAATGCTGCTGCTGCTGCTTCTGCTGGTTCTAGTGCTGGTGCTGGTGCTGCTGCTGTTACTGCTGCTGCTGCTGCTGCTGCTTCTGCTGGTTCTAGTGCTGGTGCTGGTGCTGCTGCTGTTACTGCTGCTGCTGTTACTGCTGCTGCTGCTGGTTCTAGTGCTGGTGCTGGTGCTGCTGCTGTTACTGCTGCTGCTGTTACTGCTGCTGCTGCTGCTTGTGCGGTGGCTAGTGGTGCTGCAAATGTCTCAGTTGCTGTTGCTACTGCTGTGTCTTATGTTGCTGCTGCTGCTGCTGCTGTCTCTTCTGTTGCTCCTGCTGCTGCTGCTGCTGTTGCTGCTGCTGCTGCTGTGCTGGGAGGCCTTACTCGTTTAACATTTGCGAGTACTCGCATATCGTTGGGCATCGTCTTATCCTGCAACAAATTTAAAAAATTGATATCCATATATATATATATACATATTTATTTATTTATTTATTTATTTATGTATATATAAACATATACGTAGATATATATGTATATAACCAATTTCACAGTTTGTTTGATTAAAAATATAATTCAAACACAGGGGAGTTGATGCATACATATATATTATGTAAATATATATATAATGTATATATATAATGTATATATATATTTATTTATTCATACTTATATATCCATATGCATTATATATATATATATATATGCAAATACGTAGATACACATGTATATATGCCTACATATCGATACAGGTGTAAATATACATATATATACATATATATATGTCTAAATGCGCATATATACATATAAAATATATAAATATATATATATATATATATATATCCTTATATAATATATATATAACATAT